GTAAAGCGAGAGCAGCTTACTACTCTTCATTAATAGATGAGAATAAGAATAATGCAAGATTTATTTTCAGCACTGTAGCCAGGCTGACAGAGAGCCATAGCTCGATTGAGCCTTCTATTCCCATAGCACTCAGTAGTAATGATTTTATGTGCTTTTTTAACGATAAAATTGTTACTCTTAGAAACAAAATTAATGACCTCTTGCCTTTGACCAGTATAGTGTTATCAACAGCTCCCGGAAACGTAAGTTCTAATATTACACTAGATAGTAAACTAGAATGCTTTTCAGCCATTAACCTTGAACAATTAAATTCAATGATTCTCTCTTCTAAACCATCAACGTGCATGTTAGACCCAATTCCAACTAAGCTGTTGAAGGAAGTTTTTCCATTAATTAGCACTTATTTATTAAATATTATGAATATGTCTTTATTATCAGGCTATGTTCCACAATCATTCAAAGTAGCAGTGATAAAACCACTTCTTAAAAAGCACAACCTCGATCCAGAGGTTTTAGCCAACTATAGACCTATTTCTAATCTTCCGTTCCTCTCAAAAATTCTTGAGAAAGCGGTCGCAAAACAGTTGTGTGATTACTTAAAAAAACAATGATTTATTTTAAGCTTTTCAGTCTGGCTTTAGAACACATCATAGCACAGAGACAGCTCTGGTTAAAGTCACAAATGACATTCTAATAGCCTCTGACAAGGGACGTGTCTCTATTCTTGTTTTGCTCGATCTCAGTGCTGCATTTGATACTATCGACCATGATATCTTATTGCAAAGACTAGAGCACTTAGTTGGCATACAGGGAACTGCTTTAGACTGGTTTAGGTCCTATCTATCTGAACGCTCTCAGTTTGTACGTGTCAATGATGAATCTTCCACGCAAACCAAAGTTAGCCATGGAGTGCCACAGGGCTCGGTGCTCGGACCTATTTTGTTCACATTATATATGCTTCCGTTAGGCAATATTATAAGGAATCATTCTGTAAACTTTCATTGTTATGCGGATGATACTCAACTATATTTATCAATCAAGCCTGATGAAATTAATCATCTAAATACAATTCAAGACTGCCTTAAGGACTTAAAAACGTGGATGACCTTAAACTTTTTGATGTTAAACACGACCAAAACTGAAGTTATTGTACTTGGCCCGAAGAATCTACGAAACAAATTATCTAAGGATATACTAACTATGGATGGCATTAATTTGGCCTCCAGTGAGACTGTAAGGAATCTTGGTGTTATATTTGATCAGGATTTATCCTTTAACGCCCACATAAAATCAATTTCAAGGACCGCCTACTTCCATCTACGTAACATTGCAAAAATCAGGCATATCTTGCCTCAAAACGATGCAGAGAAACTAGTCCATGCATTTGTTACTTCAAGGCTGGATTATTGTAACTCTTTATTATCAGGGTGTACCAAGAAGTCAGTCAAGTCGCTTCAGCTGATTCAAAATGCTGCGGCTCGTGTACTAACCAGAGTTAGGAAAAGGGACCACATTACTCCTGTTCTGGCTGCCTTACACTGGCTCCCTATAGAACACAGGATAGAATTTAAAATTCTTCTTCTCGCCTACAAAGCCCTTAATGGGCAGGCGCCATCTTACCTTAAAGAACTCATTATACCCTACTGTCCTACTAGGGCATTGCGTTCCAAGAATGCAGGGTTGTTGGTTGTTCCTAGAGTCTCTAAAAGTACAATGGGAGCCAGAGCCTTTTCTTATCAAGCTCCACATTTGTGGAATCAGCTTCCAGTTTGTGTTCGGGCGGCAGACACCCTATCCGTTTTTAAGAATGCGCTTAAGACCTTCCTTTTTGATAAAGCTTATAGTTAGGGCTGATTAGATCCAGCCCCCTAGTTTTGCTGATATAGGCTTAGTTTGTCGGGGGACATCTTACTTCTTCCTTCTCTCTGTCTATACCTGTGTACTCTCATGTTCCGATTAACCCAGCTTCCCCAAATGTCTTTCTTTTTGGTGTCTATATACGCCGGGATCCGGAGTCATGGATGATCCTGCGCTCCTCTGTCCTGGATCGCGAGCCCTGGATCTTGAGTCGTGGCTGTGGTCCTGGATCATAGGTCCTGGATGGATATCCTCGTGGATTCATCTTCCTATTATACACACATGCATTTCCAAACATTTGGACTACCTATGTTGCAAATGTATTATCTTTTCAATTTACACACGGCATCTATTGCACGTCTGTCCGTCCTGGGAGAGGGATCCCTCCTCTGTTGCTCTCCCTGAGGTTTCTCCCATTTTTCCCTTTAAACTGTGGGTTTTCTCCGGAAGTTTTTCCTTGTACGATGTGAGGGTCTAAGGACAGAGGGTGTCGTATTGTCATACTGATATTTTGTACAAACTGTAAAGTCCACTGAGACAAATGTAACATTTGTGATATTGGGCTATATAAATAAACATTGATTGATTGATTGATTGATTATATCATGAAAGTTACGGTGCTTATTAAGCATTTTAAAACGTAAGTGGTAACTTGCCAAAGTGCTTTGTTTTGAACGTTCATCAGTATTATAATCAAAAAGAGAAATATGAACGTTAGTTTTTACTGAAATTGTCAAATAAAGTCAACATTCCACTGAGCTGTGTGGGGTTTGTTCAACTTTTAAAAGATGTTTGAATGGTGATATACACAGTGATAGATGTTAAGGACTAACGTTTATAATAAATACATTTGTATTTATTTTAAGATATTTTCATACAATCATACGTATTGGGATCATTTGTATTAATGTGGACCGGAGGGAGAGGGTGACGAGCAGAAGTTTCACTTTCCTTTTTTATTTCAATTCCAACTTTGGTCATGAAGAATATGTTTCTCTGTTGTCCACGTTCATAAAGCAAAGCAACAGCATCAGAGCACAGAGTCTCTAGATGAGTTTACAGTAGTCCCTCGTTCTTATTAAACATCCATGTTGTAGTCCGCTGTATAGAAAACGGTAGTTTCCATAGTTTCCCCACAGCAGCAGACGCACACAATGACGTCCGCTGGCGCATCATAAACACGTTGGATAGTGAAAGTGCATTCGGATTCTCTAAAGTACCGCAGTCTCTTCTCCTAAGTCCTTTTGAATTCTCCTATCTACTAACCCTTAACCCCGTGACGTTTCACTCAGAGGTCAAGGAATAGGAGATAGGGTTAGAATTTAGGAGTTGATTTTTGGATTATCAGAACGCAACCCATATTACGTCCAAAACAGTCAGGCATTGTTGATTGTTCCTGATAGCAACGTTTTTGGCCGTGGGTGTAAAGCCAGCCTACATTTCAGATATTACGTCATATCGGACGCAAATCTGGATCAGCTCCGCTGTTCCCCTGTTTTTAGAGATTTGGGTACGGGGGAAAAGAGAGAGGGTTTTATTTTCTGACACTGCATGAGTCTCCTGACACACCGGGGACACATATTTATTTATTTTTGCATGATAGGTCCCCTTTAAGTATTACATATGTTGTTATAGTTTATGAGACATCTGCAAAACACCAGCTCCTTAAATATCAGAATATTCTTGATGTGTTTCACCTGCTGGGCTGAGTCTGAAGTGCTGGTCTGTGATCAGCGTCAGCAGCAGTCTGCGGCAGAGAACCTCTAGGAAACACAGAGGAACGTCTCGGTAGTCCGAGTCCGGATAATCCCAACCATAACCTGCAGCGCCGCAGAAACTCCTCAACAGGGGGGTATGCAGCCTAGGGAATACAGTCAAAGGCAAGAAGTAAAAACTTTAAACAATCATTTTCAACTGACATATTTAATTTGTGGTAAGAATTAACCATTTAACTTAATGTATTATATATTTATTCAAGCATCTAATGGACCAATCTGCACAATGACTAATTTTACTGTCGCTACTTTTATATTTGTATGCTAATACCTTTCTACTTTTACTTGAGTAACATTTTGAATGCAGGACTTTTGTACTGTGTAAGAGTATTCCTACACTCTGGTACTTCTACTTTTACTCAAGTACAAGATCTGAGTACTTCTACTCAAGTACAAGATCTGAGTACTTCTACTTTTACTCAAGTACGAGATCTGAGTACTTCTACTTTTACTCAAGTACAAGATCTAAGTACTTCTACTCAAGTACAAGATCTGAGTACTTCTACTTTTACTCAAGTACGAGATCTGAGTACTTCTACTTTTACTCAAGTACAAAATCTGAGTACTTCTACTTGTACTCAAGTACAATATCTGAGTACTTCTCCCACCTCTGATCATGATGCATTTTAATCCCATCATATGTAAACTGACCTGCAGTTGAGCAAAGTGTAAACTACATCCGGCTGGTTTGTAGTTTCTTTGCTCAGGAATCCCGTCCTCTGAGCCACAGCTTTGGTCAGATATTTGATGTAAAGAAACAGAAAACTTGGAAGCCTCTCCTCGTAGAGAACATGAGTTTTTAACGACTTGTAGGAGCTGTAAATGTGAACATAAACGATATACACACAACACACAGAGAGCGAAGAAACCACGTAACTCTGCGCATTGCCCATTATAGCTCAAAAATAATAAATAAAGAGGGTTTAATAAGTATTACTACATATTAAATCACTTTGTAAATCTGCAGAATAATGTAAACACAAGGAAAACATGTCGCTGTCAGAAGTACGGAAAGTGAACAGGGACAAACAACACGCCGTTGCTACAGTGAAGTTAGTTTCAGGTTGGATCATCCAGCGTCACTAATGTTTATGTTTGCCTCCATGCTAATTTGCCAATTCCGGTAAATAATAATGGCAAAAAAGTACAATAAATAGGACTTAGGAGGCACAGCTTTTTTAGATATTGTTGTGTTATGAATTTATTTTATAAAAATATTTTTATTAGAAGATAATTTAATTTATTTTCAAATTGTTTCTATGTAATATCAATATTCATATTAAATACAAATCCCAAAATCCAATAGAAAATAACACGACTGCTCTTAAACCATCCACTATTTCAGGAAATGAAAACACATTAGCACAGTTTTAGTGAAAGTCTTTAAAAACTCTTTCTTTTAGAGCATTTTAACGATCACATCATGTATACACTACAGAAGTTAAATTACATGTATTCAGTGTATAATTCTTCATAAACATTTTACATTCGGCACCCAGTGAATTGAATAAAAGTTGTTCATATAATATTTAAATCCTAGGAAAATGATGTGTTACTTATTCAGCATGTTATTGCACTATTAGAAAGTAGATGGAAATTGACTGTAAATTCATTATGCCCATTTCTGCTGAGATCTTCCTTTTTTACAGTTATTTTTTATTGTAATATTGTTCATTTCATATATTAATGTTTCTTGTCAATGCACCGAAAATTCGAAAATCTACTCGGCAATGAACCGGATAATGATTTGTAAATATTGTGCTGTTCAAAACTGGCATTAAATAATATCCAATGTATTGATATTACGTGATAACATTCATATTGTGGCTGACAGGAGTCATTTTGTGAGTCAGATGATTCTGCAGAAGGCTTCCTGAGGTGATGAAGGTTGTCTCCTCCTCCTCCTCCTCATCCGAACAGAAGCAGCAGCACTATGCAGACTGCATTCACCGCAATCAACGGCACTGCAGAGGAACAGACAACAGAGGATTACAACCAGGACTTCTTTCTTACTCAGTTACATTACCAGCATTTGTGAAGTTGAGTTTAAGATAAGATGAAACTTTATTTATCTCCTTGGGGAAATTCAGGCGTTTATAGTAGCAACAGGGTCTTTCAATAATGTACCTGTGTTGACCCCTGCTTTAATCCTCCCTGCAGTGTGTGAACCTTTAATGATCCTCCCTTTTGGTCTATCATTGATCAACACTGGGGGTTAAAAGCTCGATACAGTGTCTCGCCCGCTCTCTCTGCTGGCTGAACTCTTTCTAGAGAGCAGCTACCTTCTTATGCTTTTGTTTGGTATTGTTTTGGGTTCTGCATAAAACACCTTGCACTACATCATAGTCACACATCCACACCTACACTACTGATATATCACTGACTCTCACTCCTCACTTTGGTAGCTTCCTTTGTCTATTGGTTTAATTATAATAAATACTTTTCTTTAAACTGTGTTCTTTTCCCATTGTGGCCATTGAAAATATATGTTAAGCCAGTTTACCAGCGCAAAACATTTTTTGGGTAGCAAAGAACAAGGCATATATAAAAAAGGTAAAATGCAGTGATGTACTATCAGTGTCTGATTCACAAACCAACAAACTTGTTGATAAAAAAGCATGTGATATCACTAAGATGTAGAGTGTCTTTTTGATAAGTTGCTCAGAACATTTAGTAAAAAACCTTGGCTTCTTTTCCACTTATATATCTGTACATTTTCCAACACTCTACACTTTCTAAATTTTCTCTGTCATTCAATATTAAAACTAGCCTTCTGGTCACATAAAACAAACCTAATTGTGTATAATAATAACAACCATAATACATTTTATTCGGAGGTGCCTTTCATAACACCCAAGGACACCTTACATTTCATAAAATACTCAAAAGGGTTAAAAACAGTACAATAGAACAATAACATTTAAGGAAGCAGGGAACATCGGGCACTACATTGAGTAGGATGATCTGAACAGCTGAGTCAATTCCTACATGTAATATCATATTTTAGGAACTTAATTTTCTTTAATTTCTTAGAAAAACAACCCTCCTTTCTCGTTCAGGAAACACAGTACTGTAATAATAATACACTTTATTTATATAGCACCTTTCACACTTGACGCAGCCCAAAGTGCTTTACAGAGTATGACAAAAAATCACAATAACAAACGAGGAAGATAATTAAAATATGTAAAAACAACAAAACATTAAAACATGAACAGTGATATTACTAACAAATTATACTGCACTCTAGGTACTTTTAAAAGTGAAACATTGGAGGATCTAAGTGTCCTTGCAGGTTGATAACATGAGGGACAGTCACTTAAATATGTTGGGGCAATAGTGTAGTGTAGTGAGCACCCACCTCTCATCACGGTCCTCACGGAGCGGACGAGGGTCATCAGCTGCACTTTGACCCCCGGTTCATCCCCAAAACCTCCAACACTCGTGTCTACTCCCCATCCAACTGAAGGAGGTTAAAACACACAGAGAGATATACAGAAGTGTCATTATAAAGAGGGAATAAAAACATGCTTTGACTGAGACAATTATATACATTTACTTAATTACACTTTCATCATTTTGTGTGACTTCATTTTTCGACTCTTCAACTGCCAATTTATATATATAAAATAGATATTTCACAAAACTACAATATCTAAAAATACAGAGCCTTACCACTTTTAATACAAGTATACATCATTTTGTATTTCTTTATAATCTCATTGTACTTATATTCTACTATATGATGTTTCGTCTTCTTTTTCTTCAATGTTTGCTTTAATTCCCAATGAATTAAATGTATTATTAACATACATATATATATAAAAAAAGTATAACTACTTTTACTGAAGCAAAACATCTTCCAACACTACATCATAAGTGCTTTTACATTTGATACTTTAAGTATATGTTGAAGCTTGCTAATAATACATTTATTTTTATTTTAGTTTAAGGAAGACTTTGAATGAAGGACTACTTTGCCTTGATCTGAATTCTAGCCTGAAAAGTCTAACAAAAGTAAAATAAAATCGTAGCAATTGTATTTAAACCTCTCCATCACACATTTTAAGTCATTCACAAGGGGCTGGTGTAATCACTCTAAAAACCGATAAATACTTTAAGTTAATGTTCTAGCTGTCAGGTTACTAGCTAGTTAGCATTAGCTTAGCTTTTTTGAATTTCAACTGACATCTAACTGATAACGGACGGTTATAATTCAAACTACTTCCACTTACTTTTACTCAGAAATCTTTCTTCGTGCAACACAGCGACAGCATTGACGCACAAAATGGCTGCTTGGATGAGAGAATATAAAGTAAAGGCCATGTTGTCTTCACAGGAAGCTAGCTATATGCTAACAGTATTTACATCTGACGTAGCCTACGGTGGCTGAGAGGGTCAAACCGAGTGACAGCTTGCGCTTCTTACATATAATCAAATTATTTAATTATTTAATTGAAGATATAAAATCCATAATAAGCAGTAACGTACTGCAGTACAAGTAGTAACACCAGTGTGTATTTCTTTACATTTAGCATTACATTTTATTATAGTAATGAGTCATTACTATAAGCGCTTTATTGTTTACTTTTGTACTACATACTTCCGGGTTGCTTTTGATTATCACCAAAGATCAATTAAATTCAACTTATAACTACAGTACACCACAATAAACTAGTTGTTGCTTATAATTTGTTTAAATGAAATTAATCTGAATATTTGAAATATGAGCTATTAAATAAATGTCGCACGTACATGTACTTCAAAATGTGTACTTTTCTTGAGTAAATGTACTTTATATACTTCCCACCACAAACAATAAGGGCTAATTCATCAAAAATACTAGTATGAGTACTTCAGGTACTTCAACTTTACTAAAGTATTTTGTTATGCCACTTTCCTTTATTACTGCACTACAATAAAATGACAGATTTAAGCTTACAAGTTACATTACAAAATAAGATTTTGACATTTACAACATTGAGATCTCTGTAAATATATATTTCTAAATAGATTAAACCAACCAATTGACTACACGTACAGCCTAAATCATTACTAGATTGGACAGAACATTAATTGGCATTTTTATATGGTATTACCTTGTTAAGTTTGCATACCATACATGTGCATAAAGTCATATGACTAAGTATTTATACTCATGTTATGTATATATTCTATAAGTAGGGGAAAAATGAACTGTGTTACTACCCTGTCTTAATTGACTGAATATACAAACATATATATATACACAATTAAGAAACACACACACAGAATCATGAGAATAAAAATCTTTATTAGTGTTTTATGAAGTCTGCATAATATGCCACACGCCTGAGAAGCTTATGGTCAGAAAAAAAAAAGAACTGCTCTATCAATACGGCCCTCTACTGGTAAAACAACTGCGACATCTACTGTACTGACTGCTTTGCAAAAAGATTACTGTTAAATACACACATACTGTACTACTGTTATGTATATGTACGTCTGGTCCACGTTCAGGTTTTGTAATGTCATTTTTTTTTTCACATTCATATGTTGGAGGCCAAAGATAAAAACAATGTAACACTGGACCCTAACACACGGTTCAGTTCCCCAAAATCCAAACGCCACTAGGTGCACTTAAAGTACAATCACTAGTGCCATAAGGTAAACACATGTACATCAAAAATAAGGGGGGAGAAAAGGGACATGAAGGGGACATGTTATAAACTCGCAACAGCCACATAATGACAAAAAATGGCAGAGTTGAAGCTAATAAGTCTTGTTGTACATACTGTATTTTAACGACAGATACACACATTAACACACACAGGTCTTCTTCTGTAACATTTTAAAAGCCAATTGTTTCTAAGCACCAAAAGGCTACAAGAGGTCACGTGTGTTTCAAAAATAATAATAATAAAAGAGATGACTGAATGAATGGCCATTACAAAGTTTGTTTTTTACATGCCTCTGGAATCATTATAAGCATTACAAGGAAAGGAGTACTTTAAATGCACCAGATTTCTTTGGGAAAAAAGGATAGAAACACATCATGTGGGGGCAGTGAGAGGTTTTTAATATCAAGACAAACTAATTTTTTTTTTAGGGTAAACGGAAAAAGGAATGATCCATGCCCTCCTTTTTAGAAACAGCTGTGGTCTTGAAAATATTACTTTAATAAAAAGTGAACGACAGAGAAATTTTAAGTATATTTATATATAAAAATACATGAGAATACAAAAAAGTAGCAAAACAATGGGGATATAGGCTAAAAACAGAATGATACCTTCAATTTCTCCTGGCGTTTTAAAGCTCCCCCCCCCCCCCCCTCGTCGGAGAGCCCCAGGACTCCCAGTGTCGAGTCAAAAAAAGATTTTTAACACCAGCTGATTTCCTCTGGTCCCTGCCCAGTGCACCTCTCTCATTAGCTCCAATACCAGGCTAATCAGCGGGGATTTTAACTAGAGTGCCATATAATGACAAAGAAATAAACTACATCCAGATCGAGCTTGCAGTTTGTTTGGGGTTTTTTCTTTTTGGAATTACTTTATACTTTAACATTCCTATTTGTCCATTAAAGAAGTATGTCTTATAACGACACACGTAAAAAAAAGAAAGGGCGAATTTTAAAATGTTCCATAAAACACATTGTGGCGTTTCCACCAAGGCCATCGGTTTTCTTCACCCAGAGCCACCGCTAAAATCCCTCCTGACTATTTCCCAGAGAAAAGTAAACTTAGGATCAGCACAATGGTTGGGGTGGGATAGGAACAAGAACACATCATTTGAGCATTCAAGCTTGTGTTACTCATACAAGCAATCTTCAATACTGAGAAACTATTCACAGATATTTTTGGTATTTCCCCTACTTCCTGGACTAAAAACCAATATACATTTTCATTTGTACCACAAATAGATCTAATATTAAGGATTTGGGGAAAGCAATTTAACAAGGTGCATGACATAGATGGGTAACAAAGTGCCAATTTTTTTTTGTTTTTACTGAAAAGTCTGTATGCATGTGTGTGTGCGACAGTGTGGGTGCGTTTGTTCGTGTGTGTGTGTGTGTGTAAAGGTAAAAGAGGGATGTGGAACTGGGCCACAAATACTATGAAGAACGTGACAGAAAATTCATTCTGTGGGGGTTTTCCTTTTTTTTTTTTGATGAAAGGACTCGCATGTTTGGAATTTAATGATCATGTAATGGGCTGCGGTTATTTTTTTTGTTTTTTTTGGGGCGTTTCTTTAGCTGTTTAGGACATACTGGAGCAGCGAGCAGACGGGGAACCCATCTGGGTCAGGACCTTGTCGAGCCACTGCAGCGGGCCGTTCAAGTGAAGCTCGATCCAGCAAGGAGTGCTCGTGACAGTCTGCCGCCTGGAAAACACAAAGCATGCATTTTAATATCTGACAACACATGATTTATTATGAGCTTTTATACTCCAGACTGCTGTAAGAGTCTGCAGGAGGATCTGAGAACTGCCTTGAAGTCTTAAAACTTAAACTTGAAGAGGCCCTATTCTGCTTTTTGGGGGGGGGGGGGTTTCCCTTTCCTATTGTGTGTGTGATTAAGATTTGTGTGCATGTAAATGGTCTGCAAAGGCTAAAATGGCTGTTTCTCTCTCCTACATATATACTGACATACACCTGAACATCAGCAGGAGAGGACTCTTTAAAGTAGAGACACTAAATACTGACATACACCTGAACATCAGCAGGATAGGACTCTTTAAAGTAGAGACACTACATACTGATATACACCTGAACATCAGCAGGAGAGGACTCTTTAAAGTAGAGACACTACATACTGATATACACCTGAACATCAGCAGGAGAGGACTCTTTAAAGTAGAGACACTACATACTGATATACACCTGAACATCAGCAGGAGAGGACTCTTTAAAGTAGAGACACTACATACTGATATACACCTGAACATCAGCAGGAGAGGACTCTTTAAAGTAGAGACACTACATACTGATATACACCTGAACATCAGCAGGAGAGGACTCTTTAAAGTAGAGACACTACATACTGATATACACCTAAACATCAGCAGGAGAGGACTCTTTAAAGTAGAGACACTACATACTGATATACACCTGAACATCAGCAGGAGAGGACTCTTTAAAGTAGAGACACTACATACTGATATACACCTAAACATCAGCAGGAGAGGACTCTTTAAAGTAGAGACACTACATACTGATATACACCTGAACATCAGCAGGAGAGGACTCTTTAAAGTAGAGACACTACATACTGATATACACCTGAACACAGGCCCGGACTGGCCATCGGGAGCACCGGGAGGTTTCCCGATGGCCTGGCCTGCTAAGTGGCCTGCTGGCCTGAGGATTTTTTTTTATACGCATGTATTGTGAACGCAACGCTTCGCAAATGTGGGTCTGACTCTGCCTCACAGAGGGTGACTGGCTGTCTACATGATGTGGCCTGCCGACATGGCCACTTTCATACAGATCATACTAATACCCTCGATTGGTCTCTGTGTGTCATTCAAGCTCGGGAGGGTGTGTGTTATGTGTGGCGCGAGCGAGTGAGATAAAGCACGCGCACCGGTTACGTGTATTGTTGTTGTTAGCATCTGGTGCTAGCTAGCTGTGCTAACGGATATAAGGAGCTTTTTCAACAACAAGGTGAGGGGAGAGTCCTCTCCAGTCAGACTGAGAGACTGATAACTACAACTCAGGTGAGGTAAAGGACTCTGCTGTTTAGATAGTTAACTTAGTCCAAGTTATCTCAGTGGGTCACCATTTATGTAAACACATATTTCCATTTGAGGGGGGAGTGATTAGTAAAATATGCATGAATATTAAAAAAAAAAAACGTTAACTAGGTGAAAAAAGGTAAGATAAACTATTAAAACTTGTTGAGAGCTAAAACTAGTCTTTGCTGCTGCCTCAAAGAGGAGCAGGGGGGAGACAGGTGAGGCTGGTTCAGGAGCACAGACACACTCACAACTATAAATGAACCAAAAACAAATAAATAAACAAGTTTCAATGTTTTTTCATATTGGATATGGTATGTTATTGGTTATGGCCATGTTTTTATGATTTTTTAAATATATACAGTTCTGTTTCATATGGGTGTTGTCTCTTTATTTCCCCCTCAAAGTGCACCAGATTGATGCATTTAAGTCCAACATTAAAAAAAAAATCTTACCGGGGGAGCATGCCCCCAGACCCCCCTAGAGGATTTGAGGTCCACCCCCACTTAAAATATGTTCACATGAATAGGTTCCTAAAGAGATTTGCATTTTTAAAAAAATAGTAACCCATCTCCATGTTTATTTTTTGGTAGTAGATTTAGGGGCAGCAACGCGGTAAAAATTCACAAATAAATCCAGCAAAATGGCACAAAAAACTGGTAGTGGCCTGGCTGGGTGTATAATTCCCGGCCTGACTTATTGTCTATGTCCGGCCCTGCCTGAACTTCAGCAGGAGAGGACTCTTTAAAGTAGAGACACTACATACCAGAGGTGTGGACTCGAGTCACATGACTTGGACTCGAGTCAGACTCGAGTCACACATTTTATGACTTGAGACTCGACAACATCACAAAAGACTTGCGACTCGACTTGGACTTGAACACCAATGACTCGGGACTTGACTTGGACTTGAGCCTTCTGACTTGAGGTGACTTGATACTTTAATTCAGAGGTCTCCAACACGCCGATCGCGAGCTGCCGTTAGAAGAGCAGACTCCCGTCGGGGAAAGCAGAATCTTCAGCCGCTCCTACTCTTGCTGAGAATCCTTGCAGGCAGGGGCGGGTCTTTATTTAGCTGGGCCACCATGCGGCCAATCATATGCGAGGACACACTAGGATCATACCATTATGTGAAAGAAGGGTGGGGGGCACAGCATGTGTAGTGGTACAGGCCAGCTGCACAGAGCGACGGGGAGACGGGGAGCCGGATTTAAATGCAAGCGCGTCGGAAAAAGTCAAGAAATGAGCGAAAACCGAAAAAAGAAGCAGCATCTGGCTGCTTTTCAATGATATTGGAGAAAGCTGAGTGCAGGATTTGTAAAATGAAAATAACCTTCAGAGCAGGGTTTTTTTTTGGTAACCACTCTGGATTTATTGTCAGATGTGGGAGAAGTTCAGACAATTAAAAAAAAGTTACAATCAGGGTTCCCGCGGGGGCTTAACAAGTCTTAAAAAGTCTTAAATTTGATAATCAGAATTTAAGGCCTTAAAAATGTCTTAAATATGATTAAGAAGGTCTTAAAAATTATCGGATTTGAAAGGTACTTCTGTGTTGCGATAGCGTCTAAATGTGTTTTGGGGGAAATGTCCGGGCTGCAAAGTAACCAGTACGGTAATCGCCTTTCAGTTCCCCCCAACAATTTGTATTGAATTAAATCAACATGGAACCAGTAATCACAACATTTGTTTCCCCCGGCCCCTTATTGGAGAACACCCAGCTAGTAACCTAGCAACCAAGCTTCAGCTCATGTAGCCTATCTTCGAATCTACTTACAAATAAATATGGGGAAGTGTAAGTTCAACCGTATTTGGTTGGAAAACATCTAATTTAGTGCTTGGTTGAAACCAGTGGAGGGAATGTGTTTGAAGCCCGCTGCATCTTTTGCAAAATAAATTAGCGTTTGTTTTGCTAATGTAGCGTTAGCTAGTGCAGCAGCAGCTAATGCAGCGTTAGCTAGTGCAGCAGCAGCTAATGCAGCGTTAGCTACTAGCTAGTGCAGCAGCTCCCGCAACAACACCGGGGGACCTCCGGGCGAAGTTAGGGTCTACGTCAACCCTAAAAGCGGAGGTGCTGTAGACGCTAAATACCGTAGCTAAACACCAATCATACAACAGCAACGATGAAATAGTGTAGCCAAGGCAGCAGAGCTCTGAATATAGCTCTTGTCACTCTCTCTCTCTCACACACACACACACACACACACACACACACACACACACACACACACACACACACACACACACACACACACACACACACACACACACACACACACACACCACACACACACACACACACACACACACACACACACACACACAGCTCGATTATGGCAATAATCAAGATTATGTTGGTCAATAATTAATATCACGATTATTAAATATGATTATTCATTGACTTTGAAAACATCCATTTATTGAACTTTAAAACAAATAATAATTTGAACAGTATCTTTTTAACTGTTGATTACCCTGAACGTATAATTCAACTGAAAAACCAATACAAAAATTAATTAAATAAATGATACATTACTAAAAAATGCATTAGATCAAATATGTTGTAGTGCACTGTCACAACCTAGCAAAGCAAAATAATCGTTTTTTCCGATGTTGTTTTCGTAATTGTGGCAGGCCAAAATCGTAATTGCGATTAAAATATGATTAATTGCACAGCCCTAACACACACTCAAGCACACACAGACGCACACACATACACACACACACTTTTTGTCTAACACGCTAACACAGTTCTGTACTGTTACGCTGTTGTGTTCAGTCACTGTTCTTATGTTGAACATGAATACATTTACTTTGTAAATGATTATGGGACGTATTTCTTCTTTCATATCAATTTTCCTTCATACTTTATTGCCGTGAAATAGGTCTTAAATTCTATTCAAAGTGGTCTTAAAAAGGTGTTAAAAAGTCTTAAATTTGAGTTGGCGAAACCTGCAGGAACCCTGTACAATAAAAAGTCCTGCATTCAAAATGTTACAAGTAAAAGTAGAAAAGTATTAGCATCAAAATATACTTAAAGTACCACCTGCAGAGGGATCTAGATGCAGGTGTTCTCTTCCCCTAGAGACCGCCTCGCTGCACATTATCCCTTGCATAAAGATAGATTGTGGGTCCCTTATAACATGTTGTACACAGTAGAAATAAACATTCTGGTTACCTCAACATCAGGGATCTTATACATTAAACTCCTTCTGAATCAAACCGTCACGGTAGCCTTACCTTACTGATCCCTCTTAAATTAGAAAAACACACGTTACTTTACCAGCAGAGAGAAAATGGATTATTAAATTATTAATGTGACTAATAAAGAGCAATTTGATTATTAAGTATTATTCTGTTGATCGATGTCATTACATTTGGTGAAAAACACATAATGACTTGTTTATGACTCGTTTTGTCAAAGTTTAGGACTTGACTTGACTTGAACTTGCCCATCCTGACTTGAGACTTGACTTGGACTTGAGCGCAAAGACTTGAGACTTGACTCGGACTTGCAAAACAATTACTTGGTCCCACCTCTGCTACATACTGATATACACCTGAACATCAGCAGGAGAGGACTCTTTAAAGTAGAGACACTACATACTGATATACACCTGAACATCAGCAGGAGAGGACTCTTTAAAGTAGAGACACTACATACTGATATACACCTGAACATCAGCAGGAGAGGACTCTTTAAAGTAGAGACACTACATACTGATATACACCTAAACATCAGCAGGAGAGGACTCTTTAAAGTAGAGACACTACATACTGATATACACCTGAACATCAGCAGGAGAGGACTCTTTAAAGTAGAGACACTACATACTGATATACACCTGAACATCAGCAGGAGAGGACTCTTTAAAGTAGAGACACTACATACTGATATACACCTGAACATCAGCAGGAGAGGACTCTTTAAAGTAGAGACACTACATACTGATATACACCTGAACATCAGCAGGAGAGGACTCTTTAAAGTAGAGACACTACATACTGATATACACCTGAACATCAGCAGGAGAGGACTCTTTAAAGTAGAGACACTACATACTGATATACACCTGAACATCAGCAGGAGAGAACTCTTTAAAGTAGAGACACTACATACTGATATACACCTGCACATCAGCAGGAGAGGACTCTTTAAAGTAGAGACACTACATACTGATATACACCTAAACATCAGCAGGAGAGGACTCTTTAAAGTAGAGACACTACATACTGATATACACCTGAACATCAGCAGGAGAGGACTCTTTAAAGTAGAGACACTACATACTGATATACACCTAAACATCAGCAGGAGAGGACTCTTTAAAGTAGAGACACTACATACTGATATACACCTGAACATCAGCAGGAGAGGACTCTTTAAAGTAGAGACACTACATACTGATATACACCTGAACATCAGCAGGAGAGGACTCTTTAAAGTAGAGACACTACATACTGATATACACCTGAACATCAGCAGGAGAGGACTCTTTAAAGTAGAGACACTACATACTGATATACACCTGAACATCAGCAGGAGAGGACTCTTTAAAGTAGAGACACTACATACTGATATACACCTGAACATCAGCAGGAGAGGACTCTTTAAAGTAGAGACACTACATACTGATATACACCTAAACATCAGCAGGAGAGGACTCTTTAAAGTAGAGACACTACATACTGATATACACCTGAACATCAGCAGGAGAGGACTCTTTAAAGTAGAGACACTACATACTGATATACACCTGAACATCAGCAGGAGAGGACTCTTTAAAGTAGAGACACTACATACTGATATACACCTGAACATCAGCAGGAGAGGACTCTTTAAAGTAGAGACACTACATACTGATATACACCTGAACATCAGCAGGAGAGGACTCTTTAAAGTAGAGACACTACATACTGATATACACCTGAACATCAGCAGGAGAGGACTCTTTAAAGTAGAGACACTACATACTGATATACACCTGAACATCAGCAGGAGAGAACTCTTTAAAGTAGAGACACTACATACTGATATACACCTGCACATCAGCAGGAGAGGACTCTTTAAAGTAGAGACACTACATACTGATATACACCTAAACATCAGCAGGAGAGGACTCTTTAAAGTAGAGACACTACATACTGATATACACCTGAACATCAGCAGGAGAGGACTCTTTAAAGTAGAGACACTACATACTGATATACACCTAAACATCAGCAGGAGAGGACTCTTTAAAGTAGAGACACTACATACTGATATACACCTGAACATCAGCAGGAGAGGACTCTTTAAAGTAGAGACACTACATACTGATATACACCTGAACATCAGCAGGAGAGGACTCTTTAAAGTAGAGACACTACATACTGATATACACCTGAACATCAGCAGGAGAGGACTCTTTAAAGTAGAGACACTACATACTGATATACACCTGAACATCAGCAGGAGAGGACTCTTTAAAGTAGAGACACTACATACTGATATACACCTGAACATCAGCAGGAGAAGACTCTTTAAAGTAGAGACACTACATACTGATATACACCTGAATAACCTGCAGCTTGTATGGATTTCTAGTTCAGGTTTATCTGCAGGGCTCACCTGTACTCGGCTCCCCAGCCTTTGACGAAGCTCATGCGGATGGTGCACATCCTGGTGAGCTGGTAAACCGCCTCGAAGCCCTGATTCACCGACTGAGCCAGCAGGGCCGCGAACTCCTGGTTGTTGAAGATTTTTAAATTGCAACCTAACGAGAAACAAAGGGATAAACAACAAAGAAGTTAACACGTGTATTCCTAGCCCACTGCCACACCAATTCATTGTGCATGTCTGGTTAATTATAGGTTCTTTGTTGTGTGCTCAGCTACACACGTTACATCTTCGGCATCTTACCTGGAGGAATTTTACACACTGTTGCCGGATGCCAGCCGTACCGCTGGTTGCAGTTTGGACTCTGGACAAAGATGGCGCTATCACTCAGGCACTCAGCGAAAACCTCCCCTCCGATGTAGTAGAGTCTAACTCCTCTTCCTGCAAACACACAGACAGTCAGAGGGTAGAATACGATTTCAGTCAGACAACTCACGTGTTTAATATGTTTATTAGAAGCAGCATATAGTTGAGTGTGGTGTCTAGGCTCGGGCCATCACCCCACAGATTTACAAAGAACATTGAGTGATGATTACAGTGGTTCTCAAATGGGGGTACGCGGACCCCTAGGGGTACTTTGGAGTACTGCAGGGGGTACGTGAGATTTATTTTATGTTAATGAAAAAAAAACATAATTAATGCATTTACACAAACTACTAATAGTAGATGAACTACTTTATTTAAAGTTTACAGTAACTCTGGATATAAAATGGGAAAAATAAACGGGGTGCCCTCTTTTCCTCTCCCTGACAGCCCGTCAGCCTCGAGTTGTACAGCTCGCTGAACCTATAATGAGTGACCCGACAGTAAAGAATACACATATTTATAACTAGTTTAGCTTGTTCCAGAGTAGATAAACTAGCTAAGTGTGTTAGGTCTAACTCTTAGTGTATTTAATTTAGCTCCACTCAACGGTCCGTCACAGCGGCGGAGCTGTGATCATGCAGAGCTGCGTGTTGTCCGTCAGCAGCAGCTGATCTGATCTCTCTCTCGTGTCCGATTATACTTCACTCGCGTTGATGTCCAAATCTATCAGATCTAGCTAGTTCTAGTTCATTATTTGACTGCCTGCTTATCAAAGGACACCTAAACAATAAGCGTTGCTTGGCAACGGCGTGTGGCCGCAAGTATAGTATGAGGGGTCAAAATCCCATGCTCATAAAATGCTCATATTTGTTTCTCTTCATTCCCCACGACCCAAAATAAATAAATATACCAATTTTAGGAAAAGTAACGAAGTTTAAGCAGTGTAGGTTTTATATGGACATAGTTACACATATTTGAAAACGCGAATTGTAATAACTGCAGTGACACCTGAACATCAGCAGGAGAGGACTCTTTAAAGTAGAGACACTACATACTGATATACACCTGAACATCAGCAGGAGAGGACTCTTTAAAGTAGAGACACTACATACTGATATACACCTGAACATCAGCAGGAGAGGACTCTTTAAAGTAGAGACACTACATACTGATATACACCTGAACATCAGCAGGAGAGGACTCTTTAAAGTAGAGACACTACATACTGATATACACCTGAACATCAGCAGGAGAGGACTCTTTAAAGTAGAGACACTACATACTGATATACACCTGAACATCAGCAGGAGAGGACTCTTTAAAGTAGAGACACTACATACTGATATACACCTGAACATCAGCAGGAGAGGACTCTTTAAAGTAGAGACACTACATACTGATATACACCTGAACATCAGCAGGAGAGGTCAGGACATCAGCGGCACATTTATAAAACAATTTGAATAAAAAGGTGATTAGTTTGTATAAAGCTCCCAGCAGCAAGAGTAAGTAAGAGTGAGAAGAACCTCTTTGTGTAATCAGATGTCAGAGCTCAAGTTAGAGACTTGTCTTTTGTTTGGTTTTTGGTGAGGGAAATCTAGAATTGTCGTTAAGTCAACTTTTGTTTGTTGTATTGGATGTCAATAAACTGCTAAACTGAATGTTCATTGTGTTGCTGACCCTTTCTTGAAAGTAGGAAGGAGTTACAGTTCATGTAGTGTCTGAGTAACACAGCATTGGTACATTTAGAAAACGTCTAAAAAGCTCCTCAAAGCTATGGCGTACCTATGTGCCTCCGGGTCATCTCCACAGTGGCGTTCCTGTTGACGTTGGACAGCAGGCCGAGGCAGAAGCGCTCAGAGTTTGAAGGATCTGTGAATCCGTCCACGGTCAGCGAGGGCTGCGAGGCGTGAAACGTTTCGCCCACGCGCTGGTTCAGCTCGTAGTACGCTATCGAGCACCAGAAGGCCGGCTCGGAGTAGGTCACCGGCTGAAGGTCTGCAGCAGAGGACCCTAACGTCAGTAAGGTTTGTGGGGAAACATCAATTTCTGACACAACACAGTTTATACTTGGGACAAAAAAAGGCACTGGAAATGCCTGTGATTATAATCTAACTAGGTGCCAAAATGTGATGTTTTAAAGCAGTGCTTCTCAAAGTGTGGTCCGCGGACCACTGGTGGTCCGTGAGGGCCCCCTAGTGGTCCGTGAGTATATTGGTAAAAATTTCACATTTGAAATAAATAAATTCATTAAAGTTTTCCGCACTCTCGCGGGAATATCTCCGCAATGGAGCGAGCTTAAGTTTCACTTTCGATTGCATGATATAGCCCAGATAAAAACCTTCATCACACATGTGGCCACTTGTTTGTACCATTTTCAGGCGATTTGTAAAAAACGATGTGTTTTTGGATATTTGTGGAGTTAGGTGGTCCTTGGTATGAAAAAGTTTGAGAAACACTGTTTTAAAGCAATACTTTACCAACAAAACACTCATTTGTTTATCAATTACTCACAACATGTTACCTTGAATTCTTAAAGTGTTTCCACAGTAAACAAAGAATGATAAAATGGGAACAGTCTTGATGAATTAAAGTCAATATGGGCCATGTCTATCGGTAAATTGATGTAAAAACGTCCGTTTACAAACTCTAATTTATCCAGTTGTATTCTCACTTCTTATCAAAACAGCACTAATTATAAATACATTACTATTATTTGTCAAGTCTGAAATGTTTCTTGCATCACAGCAGCTCTATTTGCAACGCCAACAAGGACACATATTTAAGACTAGAAACAAGACAGACATTTAATGTAACATTATTAAAGTTTTAAGTGCATGCATTTCACTCTAACATTACTAATACACTTTGTCACGTCTGCACGAAAGTGAGACCGTTTATGTGTAAGTGATTTAAATAGTTATGGTTTTAGTGAAAGGTCATGAGTTTGTGAAGTGAGAATCTGAGTTTTGGTGTAATTTAACTTTTCTTTGTTTTCTGACTCTTTGTTCACCGTGGAGGCGATCAGGACAAATAACGCTTTCTTGAAGTATTAAAAAGGTAACACAGGGTGAGTTGTTGATGATATACAAATATTCATTTTGTGGTTGAGCAAATCATTTAATACACAGTAATGATTGTTATCTCTATTGTTTGGTCTCTTACCCATGCTGTGATTGACAGGAGACAGAGTGCTGGGGGAGAGCTCTGCTGGAGAACCTGACGGAGAAAACAGGAAGTCTTTTATTTAGACGGGATCAGAACATCGGGGTTAGTGAAAGTAGTGGCTGCCTTGCCTGGGGATTCCATAACGACAGTGTTAGTCTAATCAATTTGCAGTAGAGTGATGAAGAAATGCGGAGTAAGAAAGATATTTTTGTACTTCTTACATATTGCTTTTGTTGGTATTTTACACTTTGAAATAACTAAATGGATGATGTTTAAATTAAAAAAGTATCTCCCTCCAACTGTTATGGTTATCACTTAAAGCATATTGAAGATGCAGAATTTGGGAAATATCCATACATTCAATCTCCAAAAAGGATCCTGGAGAAATTCAAGAGGCTAAAATGTAAAAATAAATAAAGAACACAAAAAATCCAGGGAAAAAAAGTGTACAATAGAGGTTGAAGACTAAAAATCACATAATTATAAATATGTATTCTTAATTAAAATGTTCTGTAATGCATGTTAACAGCTTTAGACTTGTTCATTAACAGAGCTGCAACCTCTCTGAATAATCGTTATGGTAACTTCAATGTTTGATTCAAAATCTGCTTTTAATGTAGAGTAAGTCAGAAGTAATTCACTTGTAAAAATATAACTTTTGTAAACCCAGAGTAGAAACCGGGTATTTGTAGTTCATCTCTAAGAGAGGATCTGGTCTATAACACCTGATACAGGTCTGTTGTGAATATCTTCCGCTGTTGATGCAGACTTATTCCTTTAAATTAAAATAAAGAAAATACATTTGACCCGGCTGAGGCAGACTCACGAGTGAAGTTGAAGGAAGAAGAAGGAGAGTTTCTACTCTAGAATACCTGTTTCCATACTTTGATTCATCTGTTGATCGCTGGCCTCCCCATCCTCACTGATGTAGCCTGGAGGAGGCGTTTCTGTGGAGAGAAAGAGGGGGAATTCAAAAAAGAGCTGTGACGATATCATAATGTTTAACCCGCTAAAATAAAGGAAACATAGTTTTAGTAATACAGTGGAAACTGCTCATATGGATCAAAAAGCTTGGACAGAATTGTTCCTGTATAAAAAACCTTTTAAATAAATTCCTTTTAGTAATCAAGTATTCAGCTGACATAACATATATATTTTCTTTGTAAAACTCCCATGATGCATTGCTGTAACCTGTCTGACCACCTGAGGCTGCGTGAAAATCATGACGGGGAAAAGAAAGTCATTTTTTATTAATTAAAAAACTTAACTTATTAGTATAATAACTAAAAGTGGTTTCCACTGTCTTCATATTTTTCTTCAAAAGTTAAATTATTATATTTCTTTCTATATTTATTATTATTATTATTGATTTAATGTATTACACATGTACACAACACAGTAAAAAAACAGTTAGTTACATGTATACTCTGCAATTAACAAATCCTTGTCGTAGAAGCAGCAGTCAGCTATTATATATATATATATATATATTTTTTTTTTTGGTGACAAAAACATGACAAAAAAACAACTTTACATCAACAGACTATATACCATGTACTTCATTGCATACAAAAGCCTAGAATAAGTTCCTTTACCTTCAGGTTTAATTTAGTAAATGATGTTAGCATTACTCAGAAGATATACTCAGAAGTGAACGGACCTGGTATATAGTTGTTTGGAGGTTCGATTCCTGCGGGGAAGTTTGTGTTCTCCGGTATGGAGTGAGTGTAATCGTCCAGAGGTGGCAGCTCTGGCAGGATCTCTGAGTGTCTTGGCACAAGAACAGGAGGCAGCACTGCAGGGGGTAAAAACTAATGAGTCAAATACTAATCAGTTATACACTGTTACTAGGTTATAGTCAGGTGGTTTCATTATTGTGGTGAAGACTTGGCAAATGTGACTTTTTGCAGATTTTAAATATTGTATATCCCTGAAACTCTTAACGAGTAGTTTTACATTTTGAGGGGAAACATTTATTAGCTTGTTTAGCCGTGAGCTAGTGAAGATTGACACCATTATCATATAGTTTCCTTAGATACTTCACAAGGCTTCAGTCAGCAAGCATTGACGCTAACAAAGAGGTACTCAAGGCAAAGATAGTCTACTCACCACTTTTCTAGTCTTTATGCTAAGCTAAGCTAACTAACCGTCTGCACTAAAATTAATTAAATTGTATTATAAGCTCCTAGAAAGAAAACAAATACGTTTATTTCCCCAAAATGACATATTAATCCTTTAATTAAACAAAAAAGGCAGACATCTAAACAAATTAAAAAAGGCATTTTAACTTAGCATTCGTTTTTAGCTTAGCGAATGTCAGTGAGAGGATCCAACAGATTTAAGATTTTAAAATCATAAAACAATAAGAAATCAAAATGGCAATTCGTCAACCAAATATTTTTCTGTGATTAACAATTACCAAAAATATGAAGGCTGTCAATTTCACAGATAAGAACATCAGGCTGGTCTACCTTAACCTACAACACTACCTTAACCTTGTCTTATACCAACAATGAAAATAAATAAATGAAAATTAAATGCTTTTTGAAACGTCTAATAATAGAAATGTCTAAATAAAAATGGCAGGTAACAATAGAACACAACCCTTGCAGAAGACACTGAAATAGGAAGATATTTGTTATTTAATTTCATATTTTGTTCATATTCTATTTACATGTATATAGACTTCTTCCAATATGTTTGTATTGTATGATATATGTTGCATTGCTGGAGGAGCTCAGGTCAGAAGAATTTCATTGCCATTTCTACACTGTAGCTTTGTGCATGACAATAACACCTTTGAATTGAATTTGAGGTGTTGCTGCTCTGTAGGCGGCAAACAGCTTAGGGTGGTTGCATCAAAAAGTGAAAATCTCCACTGCATTTAAGACCAACAACATCCTCCTCCATCCAAAATATTTTACCCGGATGTCATCACAAACAAAAAGACTCTTAATTCCTAAAGAGATCAAATGTGTGTGTTTTTAACCCAGTTTACAATGTCTTTACCAATAAATAATCCAATAGAAATAGTATGACATTAATGTAAGTAGTCACATGATTGCTTGTAGCTTATGTGCATATGACCTTTGAATTTGAATGATTTTTTATATTTTGAGCAACAAAAGTCCCCTCACCTGGGGTCTCCACCCTCTGGTAGTGGTAGGGGTTGATGCAGACCTCATCCTTCTTGAGGTGGAAGGCGTACTCACAGGCCTCGATGGCGCGAAGCTCGTGGTGACTGTGGAGGTCCGGCCACCGCCACAAACGACAGTAAATAACATGAGGAAGCCCCTTCCTGTGGGAAACCTGCAGGCGGCCATCCATGGTTCTGATTGGACGGCAAACAGGAAGTGGAGGTGAGATAGGCAGAGATGGCATAAGTACACACATCCTTTACTCAAGTAGAAGTACAGATACTTGTGTTTAAAAATACTCTGGTGAAAGTAGAAGTACTGACTAAGCTTCTTTACTCAAGTGAAAGTAAAGAACTTTGAAATGTACTTCAGTAAAAAGTACCCATAACTAGCAGCTGCTTTAAAGAGTACCTGACCTCCCTTTATATTAATGGAACAATAATGTCATTGTTAGCTAATGAATGTTTCCATGCTGAACAACGGCAACATGACAACGTTTCCATTGGTCCCTCTTCTTTAGAGAAGACCAGGAAATGATGGATACACGGATCGTGTTCAAATCAATAGGCACGCAATGACTCTAAAGAATAATGATCACGCATCAAACACACATTCAGACTAAAGGAACCAGCTGTTTGGAAAATGAGAGAAGTAGAAAGTACAAGTATTTGAGTTCAACATGTAAGAAGTAGAAAGTACAGGTATTTGAGTTCAACATGTAAGAAGTAGAAAGTACAGGTATTTGAGTTCAACATGTAAGAAGTAGAAAGTACAGGTATTTGAGTTCAACATGTAAGAAGTAGAAAGTACAGGTATTTGAGTTCAACATGTAAGAAGTAGAAAGTACAGGTATTTGAGTTCAACATGTAAGAAGTAGAAAGTACAGGTATTTGAGTTCAACATGTAAGAAGTAGAAAGTACAGGTATTTGAGTTCAACATGTAAGAAGTAGAAAGTACAGGTATTTGTGTTCAACATGTAAGAAGTAGAAAGTACAGGTATTTGTGTTCAACATGTAAGAAGTAGAAAGTACAGGTATTTGAGTTCAACATGTAAGAAGTAGAAAGTACAGGTATTTGTGTTCAATATGTAAGAAGTAGAAAGTACAGGTATTTGTGTTCAACATGTAAGAAGTAGAAAGTACAGGTATTTGTGTTCAACATGTAAGAAGTAGAAAGTACAGGTATTTGTGTTCAACATGTAAGAAGTAGAAAGTACAGGTATTTGAGTTCAACATGTAAGAAGTAGAAAGTACAGGTATTTGGGTTCAACATGTAAGAAGTAGAAAGTACAGGTATTTGTGTTCAACATGTAAGAAGTAGAAAGTACAGGTATTTGAGTTCAACATGTGAGAAGTAGAAAGTACAGGTATTTGTGTTCAACATGTAAGAAGTAGAAAGTACAGGTATTTGAGTTCAACATGTGAGAAGTAGAAAGTACAGGTATTTGAGTTCAACATGTAAGAAGTAGAAAGTACAGGTGTTTGTGTTCAACATGTAAGAAGTAGAAAGTACAGGTATTTGTGTTCAACATGTAAGAAGTAGAAAGTACAGGTGTTTGTGTTCAACATGTAAGAAGTAGAAAGTACAGGTACTTGTGTTCAACATGTAAGAAGTAGAAAGTACAGGTATTTGTGTTCAACATGTAAGAAGTAGAAAGTACAGGTATTTGTGTTCAACATGTGAGAAGTAGAAAGTACAGGTATTTGTGTTCAACATGTGAGAAGTAGAAAGTACATGTATTTGGGTTCAACATGTAAGAAGTAGAAAGTACAGGTATTTGAGTTCAACATGTAAGAAGTAGAAAGTACAGGTATTTGGGTTCAACATGTAAGAAGTAGAAAGTACAGGTATTTGGGTTCAACATGTAAGAAGTAGAAAGTTCAGGTATTTGGGTTCAACATGTAAGAAGTAGAAAGTACAGGTATTTGAGTTCAACATGTAAGAAGTAGAAAGTTCAGGTATTTGGGTTCAACATGTAAGAAGTAGAAAGTACAGGTATTTGAGTTCAACATGTAAGAGGTAGAAAGTACAGGTGTTTGTGTTCAACATGTGAGAAGTAAAAAGTACAGGTATTTGTGTTCAACATGTGAGAAGTAGAAAGTACAGGTATTTGGGTTCAACATGTAAGAAGTAGAAAGTACAGGTATTTGTGTTCAACATGTGAGAAGTAGAAAGTACAGGTATTTGTGTTCAACATGTGAGAAGTAGAAAGTACAGGTATTTGAGTTCAACATGTAAGAAGTAGAAAGTACAGGTATTTGTGTTCAACATGTAAGAAGTAGAAAGTACAGGTATTTGTGTTCAACATGTGAGAAGTAGAAAGTACAGGTATTTGGGTTCAACATGTAAGAAGTAGAAAGTACAGGTATTTGAGTTAGAAATGTAAGAAGTAGAAAGTACAGGTATTTGTGTTCAACATGTGAGAAGTAGAAAGTACAGGTATTTGAGTTCAACATGTAAGAAGTAGAAAGTACAGGTATTTGTGTTCAAAATGTAAGAAGTAAAAAGTACAGGTATTTGTGTTCAACATGTAAGAAGTAGAAAGTACAGGTATTTGGGTTCAACATGTAAGAAGTAGAAAGTACAGGTATTTGTGTTCAACATATAAGAAGTAAAAAGTACAGGTATTTGGGTTCAACATTTAAGAAGTAGAAAGTACAGGTATTTGTGTTCAACATATAAGAAGTAAAAAGTACAGGTATTTGGGTTCAACATGTAAGAAGTAGAAAGTACAGGTATTTGTGTTCAACATGTAAGAAGTAGAAAGTACAGGTATTTGAGTTCAACATGTAAGAAGTAGAAAGTACAGGTATTTGGGTTCAACATGTGAGAGGTAGAAAGTACAGGTATTTGTGTTCAACATATAAGAAGTAAAAAGTACAGGTATTTGGGTTCAACATGTAAGAAGTAAAAAGTACAGGTATTTGGGTTCAACATGTAAGAAGTAGAAAGTACAGGTATTTGTGTTCAACATGTAAGAAGTAGAAAGTACAGGTATTTGGGTTCAACATGTAAGAAGTAGAAAGTACAGGTATTTGGGTTCAACATGTGAGAAGTAGAAAGTACAGGTATTTGGGTTCAACATGTAAGAAGTAGAAAGTACAGGTATTTGGGTTCAACATGTAAGAAGTAGAAAGTACAGGTATTTGTGTTCAACATGTAAGAAGTAGAAAGTACAGGTATTTGGGTTCAACATGTAAGAAGTAGAAAGTACAGGTATTTGGGTTCAACATGTAAGAAGTAGAAAGTACAGGTATTTGTGTTCAACATGTAAGAAATAAAAAGTCGTCAGAAAAATAAGTAGTGGAGTAAAGTACTGATACCAGAAAAATGTACTTAAGTACAGTAACGAAGTATTTGTACTCCACTACTTCCCACCTCCAGAGCATGGTAGGTAAGAGGAGGGGAAATGAAGATGGGGAACAAAGATGATCTCAATGTCTGCCACGTCAAACATTGTAAAGACACTCTGATGCCATATCAAGAAAGTAACACCATACAAAAGTGGAGGATAGTCACCTGGTTTGGTCAGGGTAGCTGTAAAGGCCTGATGAATCCCACTGTTCTATCGTATTTGGTGTACTCAGTCCCCATATTTCAGAGCAATTGCTGTGAAAAACAAACAAAAACAAAAAGGAAATCATAAACATGGGACATGACTCATTCAGAAATATCAGTATGGGTAATGTGATCAATCAAAAAGATGTCTAATGGCAAAAATAACGACAACACATTTTGTTTTTGTAGCAGTGGAAAGGAGATGGGAACTTTGAATAAGAGAAATTTGACCCAAAAAAGAAATGTAAACTGGGAATGAGGACATATGTAGAGTAGTTGCGTCTGAATAATAACAGAACAACAACACATATTAAATGCTAGAAGTAAACAACAACATTTACTAGACTTAAAGGGGTTATATCATGCTTCTTTTCAGGTTCATATCAGTATGTAGTGTCTCTACTTTAAAGAGTCCTCTCCTGCTGATGTTCAGAAGTATATCAGTATGTAGTGTCTCTACTTTAAAGAGTCCTCTCCTGCTGATGTTCAGGTTCATATCAGTATGTAGTGTCTCTACTTTAAAGAGTCCTCTCCTGCTGATGTTCAGAAGTATATCAGTATGTAGTGTCTCTACTTTAAAGAGTCCTCTCCTGCTGATGTTCAGAAGTATATCAGTATGTAGTGTCTCTACTTTAAAGAGTCCTCTCCTGCTCATGTTCAGGTGTATATCAGTATGTAGTGTCTCTACTTTAAAGAGTCCTCTCCTGCTGATGTTCAGGTGTATATCAGTATGTAGTGTCTCTACTTTAAAGAGTCCTCTCCTGCTGATGTTCAGGTGTATATCAGTATGTAGTGTCTCTACTTTAAAGAGTCCTCTCCTGCTCATGTTCAGGTGTATATCAGTATGTAGTGTCTCTACTTTAAAGAGTCCTCTCCTGCTCATGTTCAGGTGTATATCAGTATGTAGTGTCTCTACTTTAAAGAGTCCTCTCCTGCTCATGTTCAGGTGTATATCAGTATGTAGTGTCTCTACTTTAAAGAGTCCTCTCCTGCTGACGTTCAGGTGTATATCAGTATGTAGTGTCTCTACTTTAAAGAGTGCTCTCCTGCTGATGTTCAGGTGTATATCAGTATGTAGTGTCTCTACTTTAAAGAGTCCTCTCCTGCTGATGTTCAGGTGTATATCAGTATGTAGTGTCTCTACTTTAAAGAGTCCTCTCCTGCTGATGTTCAGGTGTATATCAGTATGTAGTGTCTCTACTTTAAAGAGTCCTCTCCTGCTGATGTTCAGGTGTATATCAGTATGTAGTGTCTCTACTTTAAAGAGTCCTCTCCTGCTGATGTTCAGGTGTATATCAGTATGTAGTGTCTCTACTTTAAACAGTCCTCTCCTGCTGATGTTCAGGTGTATATCAGTATGTAGTGTCTCTACTTTAAAGAGTCCTCTCCTGCTGATGTTCAGGTGTATATCAGTATGTTGTCTCTCTACTTTAAAGAGTCCTCTCCTGCTGATGTTCAGGTGTATATCAGTATGTAGTGTCTCTACTTTAAAGAGTCCTCTCCTGCTGATGTTCAGGTGTATATCAGTATGTAGTGTCTCTACTTTAAAGAGTCCTCTCCTGCTGATGTTCAGGTGTATATCACTATGTAGTGTCTCTACTTTAAAGAGTCCTCTCCTGCTGATGTTCAGGTGTATATCAGTATGTAGTGTCTCTACTTTAAAGAGTCCTCTCCTGCTCATGTTCAGGTGTATATCAGTATGTAGTGTCTCTACTTTAAAGAGTCCTCTCCTGCTCATGTTCAGGTGTATATCAGTATGTAGTGTCTCTACTTTAAAGAGTCCTCTTCTGCTCATGTTCAGGTGTATATCAGTATGTAGTGTCTCTACTTTAAAGAGTCCTCTCCTGCTGATGTTCAGGTGTATATCAGTATGTAGTGTCTCTACTTTAAAGAGTGCTCTCCTGCTGATGTTCAGGTGTATATCAGTATGTAGTGTCTCTACTTTAAAGAGTCCTCTCCTGCTGATGTTCAGGTGTATATCAGTATGTAGTGTCTCTACTTTAAAGAGTCCTCTCCTGCTGATGTTCAGGTGTATATCAGTATGTAGTGTCTCTACTTTAAAGAGTCCTCTCCTGCTCATGTTCAGGTGTATATCAGTATGTAGTGTCTCTACTTTAAAGAGTCCTCTTCTGCTCATGTTCAGGTGTATATCAGTATGTAGTGTCTCTACTTTAAAGAGTCCTCTCCTGCTGATGTTCAGGTGTATATCAGTATGTAGTGTCTCTACTTTAAAGAGTGCTCTCCTGCTGATGTTCAGGTGTATATCAGTATGTAGTGTCTCTACTTTAAAGAGTCCTCTCCTGCTGATGTTCAGGTGTATATCAGTATGTAGTGTCTCTACTTTAAAGAGTCCTCTCCTGCTGATGTTCAGGTGTATATCAGTATGTAGTGTCTCTACTTTAAAGAGTCCTCTCCTGCTGATGTTCAGGTGTATATCAGTATGTAGTGTCTCTACTTTAAAGAGTCCTCTCCTGCTGATGTTCAGGTGTATATCAGTATGTAGTGTCTCTACTTTAAACAGTCCTCTCCTGCTGATGTTCAGGTGTATATCAGTATGTAGTGTCTCTACTTTAAAGAGTCCTCTCCTGCTGATGTTCAGGTGTATATCAGTATGTTGTCTCTCTACTTTAAAGAGTCCTCTCCTGCTGATGTTCAGGTGTATATCAGTATGTAGTGTCTCTACTTTAAAGAGTCCTCTCCTGCTGATGTTCAGGTGTATATCAGTATGTAGTGTCTCTACTTTAAAGAGTCCTCTCCTGCTGATGTTCAGGTGTATATCAGTATGTTGTCTCTCTACTTTAAAGAGTCCTCTCCTGCTGATGTTCAGGTGTATACCAGTATGTAGTGTCTCTACTTTAAAGAGTCCTTTCCTGCTGATGTTCAGGTGTATATCAGTATGTAGTGTCTCTACTTTAAAGAGTCCTCTCCTGCTGATGTTCAGGTGTATATCACTATGTAGTGTCTCTACTTTAAAGAGTCCTCTCCTGCTGATGTTCAGGTGTATATCAGTATGTAGTGTCTCTACTTTAAAGAGTCCTCTCCTGCTGATGTTCAGGTGTATATCAGTATGTAGTGTCTCTACTTTAAAGAGTCCTCTCCTGCTAATGTTCAGGTGTATATCAGTATGTAGTGTCTCTACTTTAAAGAGTCCTCTCCTGCTGATGTTCAGGTGTATATCAGTATGTAGTGTCTCTACATGTCTCCATGCTTTAATGTTCAAAAAGCTCTTTATTGTTCTCATACTGTCTGTGCTGCAGCACCTCTTTTCACCCTCTGTCTGAAACCAGAGCCCAGTCTACTCTGATGGGTTAGCTGGCCGGCTCTGTTGTGATTGGTCAACGGCTTAGAGATGTCCCGCCCCTTAGCCTATCATATAGAATGTGTTGGAGCGCTAGCAAACAGCAGCGCGAGTGTTACACATTGATTATGTAAGTAAACAAAGGAGTCCAATGGAGGCGTTTCAGGCAGGGGGGGGGGGGACGACGACTGGATTTTAAATGTTGTAGACCATTAATAGGCACAAAACCCTTTATACACAACACATAATAACACACTACAGGAAAGGGAAAACCCCCCAAAAAAGCACAATATGGCGAGCAGGTTAGACGAGCTCCGAAATCACAATCAAAATGTGCAAATGTTGTATTACACCGTCTCTCATAAAGATATCCTGTACAAGGAATAATTTCATTCAGTTAGAGTCAGGTTCTCTACAAACAAAACATGTCGGCCTAGAACAATTCTCAGGCGATAACCAGCCGCCTGCTATCTATAGACATACAAACATCTGACGTGGAGAAGTCTGCCATCAGGAGGAGTGAACCTGTTCACACCGTGTTCCCACTGCACCGAGTCATCAAGGCTGGCTGGCTGATAAAGAGAACATCTCCTCTCCCCTTCACGGTGCTCTCAGTCAAGCCTTTATCAGATCAATCTTTAGTTTTTAGCATCCCTACACGTTTGGTAATGATCACAGCGCATGGACAGTATGAAAAAGCTTCTTGTTAACCAGCTTAGTAACTATTAAAAGCTATAGACAATCCTTAGTGTCCATTTTTATATTGTTTTATATATTTGTGTATGTTGTTTTGAATTCTCCTTTTAAAACAAAAATGTATTTACTACTTGTATTTGTATAATTCTATAATCTAAGTATACATTTAACTGGTTTACTGTACATTTCTTTTGTTGGATATATTTGAATAAATCTCTTGTTGGAAAAAAACGTGTTTATGTTGTTTTAAATTCTCCTTTTTTCATTATTATTTACTACTTATACATGTGTGATTCTGTATACGATATTTATGTATTTACTTGGTTTACTATGTTCTATTATTTCTTTCTTTCTTGCCAATACAAATACTTATTATATTCTTGTAGTAGTATTCTAACCAGGCTTTTTTCTAGAAAGATAAAGTATGAGGTGATACTGTGGCGCCGATCTTGTATATTAGATATATCAATTATCCCGAAAACACGACGCCCGTATACAAGATGGCTCCGCGGACGTAAACTCGACGACGGAGCTCCGTAAAAACTAATCTGTCTCTGCCGTCTGACGCTCTATTGGACACAATCTTTCTATTTCTGGAAGTATTATACAATTTTGGACGAACAGGAATATTGTTTTCTGGCATCACTTTAAAATGTACAGGGAAAATCTGCATTTTGGTATGAAGGTGCACACCGAGAATAAGAGGGTCCTGGTTTAGACAAACGTCTGTTAACTTGCATTTTGTGTAATGCTTGTAAACCTGCTACTGTGAAAACATATCTTATCTTATTTTCCCCCGCCCAAAAAGAGAATTGCACGATCAGCATCAGCCCAAGATGTCAGGGTTGCATATTAAGCAGAGGTTTAATCTAATCACACTAACAGAGACAGGTGTAACAGCAAGAATGTTAAACACCTGAACTTTTGAAAGAACATCCATAACATCCATCTGTTTGCGACTCACATATATCATATATATCAATATTCCAATTACGTACTCTATATAGACTATTCTGCACAGTTTCTATCATATTCTGTTTCTATTATATTCTATTTTATTGTATTTACTTGTGTTGCACTGTGGGAGGAGCCTGTGACTTAAGATTTTCATTGTCATAACTACACTGTAGCTATGCACATGACAATAAAAGCCTTGAAACTTGAAAGTTGTAGCAGATTTTGAATGGATCGTGCGGTCGTACCTGGGGATGGTGACACACTTGGTGTTGCAGTTCTGTGTGGTGATCGCTTTCTCCAGCTCGTCTAACTGACCCGTCTTCTTCAGCTTCTTCACTAAACTCTTCACCGCCTTCTCGCACCATTTCTCCTCCTGGCCGTTATGCTCTCCTCCACCAGCGCCTCCTGAACCGCTGCTTGTCTTCTTCCAGCCCAGAAGCCTCTTCACCACAGGAGGGGTGAACGGCAAGATGGAGGACATCTTAGCTGGGAGTCTCCAGAGCACTCAACACAATCTCTCTCACACACACACACACACACCTGGAGCTGCAGAGTGGGCCCTTGCTCTGACGGGGCCCCTCTAGTGACCAGCGAGTCACAGCCAGTGCTAGCAGGGGAAACTCAACAGAGATGGGCACCTTGGGAGAAAGTCACAAAGATTATTGTTAAAAACCAGGAACAATAACAACTTTGAACTGCCACTTGATGGATTGCTGTTGTTTTGTGGCTGTGAGCGTCTAGCCAATAGCTTATTTGAAAATATAGTAAAGAAAGACAACCATGTAGCCTCATCAATAGAGCCTCTTAGTCTTACCCTCTTAGTCAACGAAATGGTAGTTTTGGTCTTAGTTCAATACTGCTTTAGCTGATGAGTTTTAAAGCTTTTAAACTTGTGACATCTCCGGTAAACTCAACATTTGAAATGGTGCATAACCGCATTGTTCTTTACAGAGAAACTCAAGTTTTACATATCTGTCTTTTAAATCAACTTGTCTTAGCCACTTACTTATTTCACTTTTCTAATGAAAATATAGTTAAAAAAAGACAACCATGTAGCCTCTTAGTTGACGTAAATGGTGGTTTTGGTCTTAGCTCAATACTGCTTTATCAGATGACTTTTTTTTATCTAATTGATAAGTTAAACTTATGATATCTCTGGTACCTCAAATGTTCAAATGGTGCAAAACTGCATTATTCTTTAAATCAACTTGTCTATAAGTAAGATGAGAAGAGATGGGCACTTTGGGAGAAAGTCACAAACAAAGTACATTGCTAAGAACAGGGAACAATAATCACTTTTTTAACTTGTGATTACTCAAATTTCTACTGCGACTCAATGGATTGGCTGTGGGAGATGCAAGGCTTTCAGGCCCCGTCCACACGGAGACGGAACGGGTGTTATCCGCTATAGTTCTTTATCGTACGGACGGTTCGTCCACACGAGGCCGTAACGGAACCGCGGAAACGGAGCCCTCAAACAATAACGCATCCCAAAGTGGGAAGGTCTGGTAACGTAACGCTTACGGCACCGTGTGTACGCCCTAAACGATCATAGCCCCGCCTCTCCTGCTCACCCCCTCGTTAATGCTGATGCGTTTCGCCAACAACAATAATGGCGGATCACAGGGTTGCATTCGTGCTCCAGACGCTACTGACCATGCTACAGATGTTAGTGCAAAATCTACAGCTCCTCTACCACAACCATCAGCAACAAGTGGACATGGAGAACTACATGGACTACATGTTGCTAAACATTACCGCGGCATGGCAACCATACTCGGGGGGTCTTCTTCGCTGCTTTTGGTGTATTTTGTGGCGGAAGTACAGCGCCACTTACAGGCTCGACATATGTACTACAGCGTCTCCAGCGGGTCGAGCGGTCTCGTGTGGACGGACACGTTTCTTGAGCCGATTCCGTGTGGACGGGGCCTTAGTCACTTGCATAGTTTGTGGCTGCTCAATGTGCTAAAGTACAAGTCACTAAGTACATGTACTTAAGTACACTTTAAAAGATACTTGTACTTTACTTAAGTATTTCCATTTGATGCTACTTTTACTCCTCTACAGTTCAGAGGTAAATGGTGTACTTCTACTCCACTACATGTATTGAATACCTTTAGTTACTTTACAGATCTGGATGATTGATGTGAAATATAACCAAGTGTTAAATCAGACTTTAGTTCCACCTGGAGTAAATCCACCAGCTACCCTGCAGTATACAAAGTCATTCAAACTAGCTGCACCTTTACCAGCTTTGAGAACACTTTCATGATCAATCATTATAAAACATATCATATATATTATTCTGAAATGGACCAATCTGCACAACGACTACTTTTACTGTCGCTACTTTCACTATATTTTGATGAGAATACTTTTCTACTTTTACTTGAGTAACATGTTGAATGCAGGACTTTTACTGTAACAGAGTATTCCTACACTCTGGTACTTCTACTTTTACTCAAGTACAAGATCTGAGTACTTCTCCCACCTCTGTGTAACACAGTGAACACTCTCATAAACAAGGACTATATTTTGTGACAGGCCCCCCAATGCTAAAACCAACTGGCTTGGATAGGCCGGCTTTTAGCTTCACAGAAATCACAACACTCACTTCTCTAGCGTATCTTTAGCATTACAAGGCTGAATCACTGTAATCTAAATAACGAAAAGAGAGCATACATAGCTCACGAAGCTAAGCAGATTGAAGGCAATTCATGTAGAAGCCCTCATCTAGCTAGGCAGGCTAACATTAGCTAGCTTATCTGAGCTAGCTCGTGGATGTATAAACTGGATACTCCGTTCATTCCTATGAGAGCTGCTCAGTATCGCATGAAGCCCAAAACAAAGCGACTGTAGCTACAGAAAGTACCCGTATGTAGGCCCATGGAGCATGCGCAGTTAAGTTTCCCCTTAAGCCCCGCCTTCTATCACCCGCTCTCGGCTCAGTTAATAGAATGGAGAGAAAATAACTCTAGATTGAGCTTTTAACGCATTTTACAACTGTTTAGACACTAATGATTAAAATAAGGGCCATTAAAGGGTTCGTTCTGGCTAGTTTATTTAGCTAAAAAAAAAAGTACACGCTGATTTACAGACGTCTCTTTCCCGATGCAAGTCAATGGGAAGAAGTATTTTTCGGGCCAACCTGACGTGACGGCAGTTGTAGTACCACCGTGTGGCCACTATGTCCATTCATGAAAATCGGCTTCAACGGCCGGCGCACTTCCTGTAGGCTCCAGCTAACTGCCAGCTTGTTATCAAAAATCCTTTTGTTGTGATCCACAAAAAACCTCCTATGCGCAACAGTCAAGCAGCGAGACTTTACTACCTATCATCAGCCTGCCCAGGCTTGTAATTAATGGAATAACACATTATATAAATGCATGATTTTAAACGTTGTTGTGTTATACTTTAACGTAGCTATTTGGATGTTTGTGAGTTTTAAATAAACGGCAACAAAAAACGAGTTAGCATCTTGGACGAACTCTTGGCTAACGGACCTTGACACAAAACAACATGCTTCAAAGTCGAGAAAAACACACAAAAACATGTCAATAGTTACCCCAGTTTTAATGTCCAAAGCTCCGGTTTTTGAGAGAAATATGTGCACAGCCTTTTTGAGCACCTTGTTGACATAAAACGGTGTTTTACTGCAGCTAATGTTGACAAGGCTTGTTGGCTCTTCTCAAGTTGCTACTGGAAGCTAGTAAGCTAGTTAGGTAGACTGGAACAACAAAACAAACCTGATGGTTACGTACGAGCTCTTAATCCCTCCTACTCAGAATCTGATTGGATGATTACAAGAAGACAGACTCTGGCTATTGGCTGATAGCCTTGACAATCATTATTGTTCATATAACTTATTTTGGAATTCATGGTGAACTTGTTGATTTTACATTACTATTTAGAACGTGTATTCATCCTTATTTTAGTCATTTACTTATTTTGCGCGGCTGATTGCATGTCTGACATGTTTGTAGCCTACATTTGAATGTTTTATAATAAATACATATTTCTTATTGTGACATTTATTGTTTAATTGTTTACCTTTTTATCTTACTAGGTTAAGGCCATATTCAGAACACTGCAGACATTTTAAACAGTATTTCCACAGGATATTGAGTTATTATTTAAATTCCTTACACATAATCACCCCAATCAAATCAACAATATCACAATTAAGTATAGCTGTTTTTTATTTAACGATGTCTTTACTACTTGTTTATGTGTTACATACAGCCGCTCAGGATAACATGGGAACACTCAATAGCCCCGCCCCTCCCTCAGGTGTTTAATCAGGTATGATTAGGTCTCACCTGGTGTCATTATAAAAATGATACCCTTTAGCTTCTGGCATCACTTGGTCTGCTTGATCTGATCTGTGGCGATGGGTGGAGGTTTGCTTCTGTGTGCAGTCTTATTGCAGCTGTCAGGATCCCTGCAAGGTGAGTTGCCACAACGGTTTGTATCCTGATGAGGCTTTTACACGTTAATTTATTCAGAGTGATGTTACTCAGATTGAGTGAACACTACTGGGTGCAATGTCAACTTTTCCACAGCAATGGACTACTTGTATATGTTCGCTTTCTCTCATAATGCTGTACTAATGTATTTTTTACCATGTGTACTTTTTGGATTTTGATTCAACCTTTTTAGTTGAACTAGATTTTAGTTGTTTGGAAAGCAATTAAAGTAACGTTCCCATCACTGGCAAGGTTTTTATAGATGCATTTACTTTAAACTACTTGTAGGTGCTTACTTTCTCATAATGCTACTTATTTGTATTTGCTATACCATGAATGTGTACTTTTCAGCTTGTATCATTGGTCTGGTGTGAAACCTTTTGTTTTATAAAGATTGATTTAAAATAAATTACAATACTTTGTGCTACATACACTTTTTTATTTCAATGTATAGATGCTATATTAGCTGCTACCTAACCCCTTTTTATGTTTACTTGCAGACTCATAATGCTACCTATTTATTTTTCTGTTTACTATAGGTATCTTTGCTGGAGTGAAACTTTTTTTTTGTGGGAATTCCCCAGCACTAGCTAAGTGTTCATAATAATAAACAAGTCAATTAAACATTTAAAAAATACAATAGTTTACAAATAAAATAATGACAACACTAAATGCAGTATGTTTTTACAATTTATTAATGGTATATTTGCTGCTTCTTAACCACTTGTATATCTTCACTTCACACTTATGTTCTCATAATGCTACTTGTTTGTTCACATGATGTATATTTGATTAACAGGTGCTGTCCCTGCTGAAGATAGATGGATAGAAAGCGTTTATTGTCCTAATACAGAAATAGACAATGAGATTTTCTAGTGCAAAATGTGGGACGTTTAGATGGTTTCTGATTCTTCTGATGTGTTTGTGTCTCTTTGAACAGTGTCTGCAGGAAGCAGCCCTCTGAAATGTGTCCTCGGCTCTAAGCTGTGCGGAGACGCCTCCGAGTGTGTTTCCTACCAACATGTGTGTGACGGAGAGCCTGACTGCAAGGACGGCTCTGATGAAGACGACTGTGCAACAGCATGCAGCGAAGGTACCGCTAATGTTTCCTGAAGCTTTATACAGAGGATGCTTCCTTACAGTTCTGTGAATGACTTGAAATGGTTAGAAATCACATTTATTGAGACTATAGGAATTCTGCTCTGACTAAAAAAATAGGTTTGTTGTTGAGATCAGTGTTCAAGCTGCTCACTCCGTTTTAAAAGTGTAGGCCTACTGCTTCTGATGTTAAAAAAACGGATTAGTAAAACAAAAGGCCTCCATTGTTTTGGATGGTGCCCAAATTTGAAATTGTGCACTTTTAGTTTTGGTCAAATCCTTGTCTCATTGGGCGAGTCTCCTACAGATCAGTTCCAGTGTGCTCACGGGAAGAAGTGCATCGAGAAGCAGCAGCTGTGTGACGGGGTGCCTCAGTGTCTGGACCGGTCCGATGAGCTGCTCTGCCCAGAGGGGAGCGAGGGCTGCTACCACCGGTGCGACGAGAGCCGCTGCTTACCGAGAACCTTCCTCTGCGACGGGGAGAGGGACTGCGTGGACGGGACCGACGAGGACAACTGCGGTGGGGGGAAGAAACACTGACACATATTAATTAATGGGATCAATCAACTTTTTAAGGACATAAAACACACTACATTATGACTTGTCGACATATATTATGACTTTAAAAAATAATAATCAGCGTAATTGTATAAATAGTTCTGGTGGTTACACAAGCCAAAACATCGTTATGACATCATAAAGTGGCCAAAATCTAATCAGCTCATTTTCAGACAGGTTTTTATAGAAATGGATCAGGACAAAAAGAGAGAGAATCTTTTTTCCTGAGACTTTCAGAGTCTCTTTCCACAGAGGGGACACATGTTGATGTAGAAGAGACATGAAGAAGAGGGGACACATGTTGATGTAGAAGAGACAAGGAGAAGAGGGGACACATGTTGATGAAGAAGAGGGGACACATGCTGATGTAGAAGAGGGGACACATGTTGATGTAGAAGAGACATGAAGAAGAGGGGACACATGTTGATGTAGAAGAGACAAGGAGAAGAGGGGACACATGCTGATGTAGAAGAGGGGACACATGCTGATGTAGAAGAGGGGACACATGCTGATGTAGAAGAGACATGAAGAAGAGGGGACACATGTTGATGTGGAAGAGGGGACACATGTTGATGTAGAAGAGACATGGAGAAGAGGGGACACATGTTGATGTAGAAGAGACATGAAGAAGAGGGGACACATGTTGATGAAGAAGAGGGGACACATGTTGATGAAGAAGAGGGGACACATGTTGATGTAGAAGAGACATGAAGAAGAGGGGACACATGTTTATGTAGAAGAGACATGAAGAAGAGGGGACACATGTTGATGTAGAAGAGACATGAAGAAGAGGGGACACATGTTGATGTAGAAGAGACATGAAGAAGAGGGGACACATGTTGATGTAGAAGAGACATGGAGAAGAGGGGACACATGTTGATGTAGAAGAGACATGAAGAAGAGGGGACACATGTTGATGTAGAAGAGACATGGAGAAGAGGGGACACATGGTGATGTAGAAGAGACATGAAGAAGAGGGGACACATGTTGATGTAGAAGAGACGTGAAGAAGAGGGGACACATGTTGATGTAGAAGAGACATGAAGAAGAGGGGACACATGTTGATGTAGAAGAGACATGAAGAAGAGGGGACACATGTTGATGTAGAAGAGACATGAGAAGAGAGGACACATGTTGATGTAGAAGAGACATGAAGAAGAGGGGACACATGTTGATAAAGAAGAGACATGAAGAAGAGGGGACACATGTTGATGTAGAAGAGACATGAAGAAGAGGGGACACATGTTGATGTAGAAGAGACATGAAGAAGAGGGGACACATGTTGATGTAGAAGAGACATGAACAATTGGATTTTGCATAATAGCTGACCTTTAATTCTTGTTTATAGTTTCCTCACTAGAGGACCCAGAGGAAGACGACTCTGAATCGGATGAAGGGACCCTCCCCACCCCGACCCCTGCACCCTCCTCCGGCCCTTCGACCCCCATAAAGTGTGCTCTGGGCTTCAGACCCTGCGTGGACCTGAAGCAGTGTGTGCTCTATAAACATGTGTGTGACGGAGAGGTAGACTGCTCCGACGGCTCTGACGAGGAAGAGTGCTCCTCAGCATGTGAAGCAGGTAGGTGCTCCTTAGTCTGTGGTGTTGGCGTGTGTGGGTTTAATATGATACTCTACTTCCCTCTGGTGGACTTTAAAGGGACTGCACATCAATATAAAATGCAGCCTCTCCCACAGCGAAGCTAAATGCATGACTTTATAGGATTTGAGTCTGTTTGCTCTTCTGTGTCTTAGTGCCCATTTTCCACTTTGTGAACATGTTTTCACTTTTCTTTGGTTACGTTGTGTCTCTTTTTAGTTTCCCCCTTTTTATCAAAGATAAGATCGACCTTTATTTATCCCTGTGGGGAAATTCAGGAGTTCAAGCAGCAACAGAGTGAAATCGAAAAAATAGCACAGATTCACACAAGATTAATACAATTAAAGATGATATACAGGTAAGTAACTGTTGAAATGAATTGTATACATATTTGAGTCTGAAGTTATAGATGGATAGAACAGATAGATGAAACCTGCTCTAATGGTCACACATGCAGAGCACACAGCGAAATGTGTTGCATTTAACTCATCCTAGTGGGCAGCTATTGTACAGAGTTGAGTCTCTGTCTAGTTGTGTTTCCCCTCTCTTCAATGTGGTCGTTTGTTTCCTTCGTCTTTTCCAGTTGCATTGTTAAGCCACTTTAGGTGCCTCTACCTGATGGGCACATGATTGTTAATACTATTCCAAAACAACCACCTGTCTACCATATTATTAGTTCTCTTCTCACTGCAAATAATTGTACAATAGCAAATCCCGGTTAGTTAATTTAAACAAGTAGCAATATGTATAACAGAATGGTTTCTATGGGAGAAGCCAGATATGTGGTGGATGTTCACAAGAATAATGTAGAATCCACTCAATCTTGGAGCACTTTACACACCTTGCAGCACTGTGATTGGTGTGTTCATGTCTCCTTCTCTGCAGATCAGTTCCAGTGCGCTCACGGCAAGAAGTGCGTCCCTCTGAGCCAGGTGTGTGACGGCGTGTCTCAGTGTCAGGACCGGTCCGATGAGATGAGCTGCACCCGTCAGACGGACGGATGCAAACACCAGTGTGACGACAACAACAGCTGCCTCCCCAGCAGCTTCCTGTGTGACGGAGAGAGGGACTGCGTGGACGGGACCGACGAGGACAACTGCGGTACAAACACTTCATATATTCATCATTATCAGAGATGGCAGAAGTACACATCCTTTACTCAAGTAGTAGTACAGATACTCGTGTTTAAAGATACTCTGGTGAAAGTAGAAGTACTGACTAAACTTCTTTACTCAAGTGAAAGTAAAGAGGCTTTGAAATGTACGTAAGTAAAGTACCCATAACTAGCAGCTGTTTTAAAGAGTACCTGACCTCCCTTTATATTAATAGAACAATAATGTCATTGTTAGCTAATGAATGTTTCCATGCTGAACAACGGCAACATGACAACGTTTCCATTGGTCCCTCTTCTTTAGAGAACACTCTGACCCTGTTGCTGCTATAAACGCCTGAATGTCCCTAAGGGGATAAAAACAGGTCCATCTTAAATAATGGACACAAGTATCTCAAACTTGTACAAGAGTAAATGTGACATTCAAACACTGAAGCATCCTTTGTGCTCCAGTCAATCCTCTCAGTAAACACAGAGCTGATCCCAGATCAGATGCACGCTGAAGGCTCTGAGCAGGTTCTCTCTGTGATTCTGCTGTTATGTTAAATGTTTGTTTTTCATGTATTGTCTTCATATCTGTCTGTTGATGTTACACACGGAGCTGCTGTGATGCAAGTCACATTTCAGACTTGATCTGACCATCAAAGTATGATCGTATGGTACTGATCACCTGTTTTGATCTGCAGTGAATGAAGGCTGCAGTCCCACAGACTTCACCTGCTCCAGTGGGCAGTGTGTGTCGGCTCAGATGTTGTGTGACGGACACCCGGACTGCGGGGACCGGTCGGATGAAGAGAGCTGCGTCTCCCCCCCCGTCTGCAGCACCAAGCACCACTGCCCCATCAGCAAGGAGTGCCTGGTGGAGGAGTGGATCTGTGACGGAGACCTGGACTGCAAGGACGGCTCCGACGAGAAGGTGGGGATGGCTCAAGGCTTTTGTTTGTCATGCGAACATAGCTACAGTGTGGTTGTGTCGATGAACATCTTAGGTCACAGGCTCCTCCAGCAGGGCAACACAATAAAACAAACATTGAAATTGTGCAATAAGGGTCTATATACAAGTGATTGGAATATGACGTATTGGATAAATAATTTGTAAGTTGCAGCCAGATGAATGTTATGGAAGAAGTTTCAAAAGTTCAGGTGAGGATGATGGTAAAGAAGTGCTTTACTGATCTAGATGTGGGACATGTTTGCGTTGCAGCAGCATAAAAAGACATGGCTGTGTACATAAGAGAAGTTAAAATACAAGAAATAAACAATCCAAATGTAAAAATCTCAAATAGAAATAAAAAATAAAATATACATGTTGAAAAACAAAAGTACCGTAACAAAATATGAACATTGATGATGAAGCTTGATTTGGATATCCCTCTTCATACGCCAGGTGCAGCTCAACGTGCTTTCACAGCATGGCACGCGTCAGGCTTCAGGTCAGATGCTAAAGGTTCATGTTGGAGTAAAACAAGCCTTAAAGTACACTTCTGTTGTAGAGGACCATGTTTACTGGTTTTATCATATGTGTTGTCATGCCTGTGGAAATCTAGCGTTCAACATCTGTAAATCAACACTGTACGGACTTTTAGATTACTGTTGTGTCATATTTTCAGTGATGGAAAGTAACGGTACATGTATCATACTTGAGTACCATTTTGTCATACTTGTACCTGAGGATGTCCAGTATATGCTTCTGTATACTTCTACTCTACAACACTTTGGAGCATTAATTGTAGTTTTTACTCGACTACATTTGTTACTTCATACAGGACCATGATATGGTATTATAATGCAGTACTTTACTACTGATCTTCACAATATTTCAAGTATCTAGGATTTATCCACATTGACATACTACAAAAATATCCAGTATACTTTACAGAGTACTTTACTTGAAGTACAATTAGCTGATAATACTCATGTACTATAACTTAAGTAACATTTTGAAATCAGGACTTTAACTTGTAATGAAGTATTTTCAGAACAAAGTATTTCTACTTTTACTCAAGTAAAGGATCGAAGTCTGTGTCCTCGGTTTAGCCTCAGTTCCCACATCCAGAGTTTGAATGATTGACAGTAAATGAATGTTTCCTCTGCAGGACTGTCCGGTGTCTCCGGAGATCTGTGGGGAGTTTCAGTGGTCGTGTAAATCCAAGACGAAGTGCACCCCTTCCTCCTGGAGGTGTGACGGCATGAAGGACTGCGACGACGGCAGCGACGAGAGAGAATGTGAGTTTTATGTCTTGTAAAAACTTCAATTGCATTCTTTTAGCATCGTACTTGTCTTTTTTCCTTTTCATCTATCCTCCTGTTTTCTGTCAAGGATTTGTTTAAAAAAAAATCTCAATATAGTAAAAAATGCCCAAAAGTGATCTGTAATATAAGTATGGTGTGCAAACAGGGGAACAAAACTTGAATCCAAGGTGTAACACTTTCACGGTAAAACGTAATCGAAATGCAAGTAAAGTTTATTTTAAACTGCATATTTCAATATTTTGAAAAACAATAAAAGCATTAAGAGTGCAAAAGAAATGAGTTATAAAAGAAATGGACAAGACGTTGATTGCTTGACATTAAGTAAATAGTTTTGTTATTTCAAAACTTGGCGTACCTTTTTTTTAAATATTTTTTAAAGTAATTGTCGGATATTAGTATAGTGTGCAAACGACAAGACAAGAGGCAACTTATGCCAGTAATGAAACACTTTCAGGGTAATGCCAAAATGCCAGGACAAGTTTATTTATAAAGCATATTCAAACAATAAGGCCTTAACAGCCTTACAACACTTAAGGAATAGAAATCAGAACAAGCTGGAATAGGATGGTGACAGTTTATTCTGCCAGCCTGCAGTACGTTGTTCTTTGCTCAGTTTTTAATGAATGTTTTTCCTAGAATTTGTATTCCAAAAAGTATCTAAAAAACCTGTCTGTGTTAAACCCTAATGTGCTTGTGTGTGCCAGGTGAGGTGTGGTGCCCCTCCCACCAGTTCGCCTGTGGCAGTCAGGGCTGTGTGTCCTGGTCTCTGGTGTGTAACAATGTCACTAACTGCGCCGACGGATCAGACGAGGGCGGCAGCTGCAGCTCTCTCTGCGAGGACACGCGGCGCTGCTCTCAGATCTGTTTCAGCACGCCGCAGGGACCGGTGAGCAACATGTGGTTTTTAATATAACCGTGAGGTATTCATTTATTAAATGTGTGAAAATGCATTACACGAACATAAAGGTCCACGTTGCATTAGTTGAGTTCAAAGTCCACGTGTAATTTTTGGACATATTTGAATCAAAGGAGAATTGGGATGCGTGTATATATGTATTTGTTCATTCAAAAAGGGACGATGCACACAAATTGCATAGACAACATTAAAATACATAAGTGCAAAGTTTCAGCCCATATTAAAACACACACGTGCAAAATTGCAAAGCGCTTTACCAGCAAGTAAAGAAATTACAACTAAAGTGCTAAACTAGGTGGAATAAGGGCGAGGGGTTAGTGGATCAGGAGTTGAAGCGAAGAGTGAAAAGGTGAGTTTTGAGGGATTTCTTTTAACCCTAAAAGCACATTCATACTAACACGAGAGCACAAGCATGGGCACAGATAAGAGCCAAAAGGCAAAGACCGTTGATTGGCAGACTAGTAGTTGTATCTTTTTGCATATTTCCATAACTTGGAAGAACTACATTTTTGCCAGGTTTTTATAATGTGTGTAATGTTGCCTCTCTCCTGTCTGACGCGTGTCTCTCTCTGCAGCCCATATTAAAAGCACATTAATACCAAGAGACACCCAAGCATAGGCAGATAAGAGCCAATAGGCAAAGACAGTTGGTAGATTAGTTGTATCTCCTTGCATCTTTCCATAACTTGGAAAGAAACTACATTTTTGTGAGGGTTTTATTTGTAAATGTTGCCTCCCCTGCCACATGCATAAGAAAAGCACATTAAACACACACAGTACATGCATAAGAAAATATAAGGGGCACAGATGATGAGTAGATTATCAAGTGCCTTAAAGCAGTATAAGGAAGCAAAATGGATTCAAAACTGATCAGTGCATGAATAAATTATGATTTTTACCTGCAGTGTCTCACTTTAAAGTCTGTCTTGCTAACCAGGGATTTAAATGCAGTAGAATCTGAGCAATTAAGGTGAAGTATCTTGCATAAACACTGGTGTAAAAAGGGAGCATCGGCGCTATGGTCTGTCACTTATTGTCTGTGTGTAATGTTCCCTCTCCTGTCTGAACCTTCTCTCTCAGCGTTGCGGCTGCTCGTTGGGCTTCAGGCTCCTTCCGGACGCTCTGAGCTGCTCTGATGTGGACGAGTGCGAGTCCAGCAGCCCGCCCGTCTGCAGCCAGCTGTGCATCAACACTGAGGGGTCATACAGATGTGACTGTGAGCAGGGGTACATCATGGAGGCCGGAGGACACCACTGCAAGATCACCGGTAACTCAAGTCCTTTGTCAGAATACATCCTGGCTCTAACTCACAAGTATTTTCATTATCAGTTGGTATAAAATGTAAGAAAATTGTGTAAAATCTCCATCCTAGTTTTGAAAAGTTATTCATTTTGAGTTCTAAGACCAAAACCCAAAGATATTTACTTTTTAATATGATGATAAACAAAGAAAAGCAGAACATCTCCATAATTTATGCATATGACAATAACACCTTTGAATCCTCCCCCTCAGGTGAGCCCTTCCTCCTGGCCTCGGTGCACACGGACATCTTCCTGTACGGTCTGCGCAGCGGAGGTCTGGACATCTTGTCCTTGTCGGCCCAGAAGGCCATCCTGTCTCTGGACTACGACTGGAGGCAGCAGAGGGTCCTGTGGGTCAGCCTGGACACAGAGGGCATCCAGTGGTCCTCCCTGGACCATAAGACCAGCGGGACCCTCATCAAAGGTGGGGGCAATAATTGTAACTCATTAAAGGTGGGTTCAATTCAATAAATGCATTTACTCGAGGACCGTAGGAAATGTAGGACTCTGAAGTTATTTTAATTGAGTATTTTCTTTTATTTAGACTTTTTTCATGCACTTCTTTCCAGAGGAAAATATGGTTTGGAAAAACAGTTTTCTGACATTGTTAGACATATTTGTGTACTTTTTTCACAAAATCCACAGAGCATACCTTTAGTTGATTTGTTGAAGTACTCTTACTTTAGTTTTTTCTTTTATTGACACTTTTTACGCACACTTAAAAATGTCAAAAGTTTTAAATGTTTTTTTTTTGGTGTACTTTTTATTTCTGTACGTTTGAGGTTTTTGTTAATATGAAAAACCAAAACATTCTCAAACAAATCAACTGAAGGTATGTAAATGCATGTAGTGCAGGAAAAGAGCAATGTGTGCCTCTGAGATGTCGAAGTATAAGGGCAGTAAATGTTATACTTGAGTAAAGTACCTCTAAATGTATTCAGACGCAGTACTTTTGTTTCCTGCAGGGCTGCGTACGGACTCGGTGGCGGTGGACTGGCTCGGCAGGAACCTGTACTGGATCGATGGAGTGAGCGGAAAGATCTCTGCCATCAAACTGAGCTCAGAACCAGTGAAGTCCTCGGACCACAGCGTGATCCTCGATGAAGACCTGGACCTGCCTCGCTCTCTGGCTCTGCTTCCTCAGAAAGGGTCAGTGACACTTTAATTAAATATGATTTAAAGAGTCCTCTCCTGCTGATGTTCAGGTGTATATCAGTATGTAGTGTCTCTACTTTAAAGAGTCCTCTCTTGCTGATGTTCAGGTGTATATCAGTATGTAGTGTCTCTACTTTAAAGAGTCCTCTCCTGCTGATGTTCAGGTGTATATCAGTATGTAGTGTCTCTACTTTAAAGAGTCCTCTCCTGCTGATGTTCAGGTGTATATCAGTATGTAGAGTCTCTACTTTAAAGAGTCCTCTCCTGCTGATGTTCAGGTGTATATCAGTATGTAGTGTCTCTACTTTAAAGAGTCCTCTCCTGGTGATGTTCAGGTGTATATCAGTATGTAGTGTCTCTGCTTTAAAGAGTCCTCTCCTGCTGATGTTCAGGTGTATGTAGTGTCTCTACTTTAAAGAGTCCTCTCCTGCTGATGTTCAGGTGTAGATCAGTATGTAGTGGCTCTACTTTAAAGAGTGCTCTCCTGCTGATGTTCAGGTGTATGTAGTGTCTCTACTTTAAAGAGTCCTCTCCTGCTGATGTTCAGGTGTATATCAGTATGTAGTGTCTCTACTTTAAAGAGTCCTCTCCTGCTGATGTTCAGGTGTATATCAGCATGTAGTGTTTGTTTGTTTTTAATGTGTTTGCCTATGTGACGCACTTTGAATGGCCTCTGTGTTAAAATGTGCTATACACTAACCTTCACCTTATGTCTCCAGGCTGATGTTCTGGACGGAGATCAGTAACGTGCCGAAGATCGAGCGCTCGGGGATGGACGGTTCGGAGCGGAGAGTCGTGGTGAACTCCAGTCTGGGCTGGCCGGGCGGCGTGGCTCTGGACCCGATCTCTGAGAGGGTCTACTGGACCGACGAGAGGCTGAGGGCCATCGGGTCCGCCACGCTGGACGGAGAGGACATCCGGGTAAAAGATTTAGGATGGAAGAGGATGTTTTCGGGCTTAAATGCAGTAGTTTTCAGTTCAGTTTTCGTATGCATCCATCATAAAGGGTGTTGCCGCCAACAGAGCAATATCTGTCAATAATGTAGTAATTTGGCATTAATTGAAACGGAATACCTTTTTTGTTACTGAGACAAATACTCCCTAGACATTTTAATACCAAATGAAATACAAGCATGTTACAGAGCAAATATCTTGTTTAATATTAAAACTACACTATTTTAACATTTTATGCCAAAATGAAGTTATTTTAATCACTATTTTGAGGAAACTGTTTCTAAAATGCATGCCATTTCAAGTTATTAGTTGTCGTCTATTTAAATATTAAGTTTTGGGTTGCAACAAATTATTGGCTGTTGCAAATATATAGATTTATACGCTTTAAATTAACAATCAAGCTAAATGTCCTACTGTCCCTGAAGTACTAAAATGTCCCTTCAAAGTGTCCAAAATGGCTCGAGCATGGATGGAATTTAATGTAAATACAGCACACTCTTTAGCTTCCTGTCGCATAATAAATGTGTGTTTCTTAATCTGTGATGTTCCAGATCCTGCAGATGAAGGAGACCACCAACCCGTTCTCGCTGGCTATTTTTAACGACATGCTGTACTGGTCTGACGCTAAGAAGAGAGTTGTGTTCGCTGCTAATAAAAACTCTGGGAAAAACCGACAAGTCCTCCTGAAGACAATCAACCAACCTTTCAGTGTGAAGGTATAACGCTCACAGTTTAAGGTGTTTAGGCGCAGGGAAAGATGGGTTTGGTATTATAATACACTTTATTTATATGCTTGACGCAGCCCAAAGTGCTGAACAGAGTATGACGATGCCAAATGAGGAAAATCATTAAAAACAAGGTATAAACAGAGTATATCTGAACCATAAAACATGAACAGTGATGCTACTAAACATTATTTTATAATTGCCCCAAATTACATTAAACTACATATAATGAAGAAACGGTAGCTAAAGTAGGCTTAATAATACACTTCTGTACTTTATTGTGCAGAATAAGTACTTCTAAATGTTCTGCACTTTAAATACATTTCAATACTTTTGTACCTTCACTTGAGTAACATTTTGAAATCAGGACTTTTACTTGAAATTGAGTATTTTAAGACAATAGTAGTTGTACTTAAGGAACGGGTCTTAGTACTTCTTCCACCACTGCTGGTTTCCTCTCACATGTTCACAAAGTATCAGCCTGACTTATAAGTGTTAATATTCTCCCGTTTGTTTCAGATCATCCACCCGTTGCTTCAGACGGGCTTTGAGAGTCCCTGTGAAAACATCGTCTGTTCCCACATGTGTGTTTTGGCCCCCGGGCCCAAAGCCGTGTGCAAATGTCCCCCTCGTCTCCTATTGGCTGAGGACGGCCTGACCTGCGCCAGCCTCGTCGACTCTGACTTCCTGTTGATGCTGTCGCCCTCCACCGTCACTCAGGTGATTATTATATACAGAGATGGCAAAAGTACACGTATCCTTTACTCAAGTAGAAGTACAGTTTATAAGTACTGACTAAACTTCTTTACTCAAGTGAAAGTAAAGAGGCTTTGAAATGTACTTCAGTAAAAAGTACCCATAACTAGCAGCTGCTTTAAAGAGTACCTGACCTCCCTTTATATTAATAGAACAATAATGTCATTGTTAGCTAATGAATGTTTCCATGCTGAACAACGGCAACATGACAACGTTTCCATTGGTCCCTCTTCTTTAGAGAAGAGCAGGAAATGATGGATACACGGATTGTGTTCAAATCAATAGGCAATGACTCTAAAGAATAATGATCACGCACCAAACACACATTCAGACTAAAGGAACCAGCTGTTTGGAAAATGAGAGAAGTAGAAAGTACAAGTATTTGAGTTCAACATGTAAGAAGTAGAAAGTACAGGTATTTGAGTTCAACATGTAAGAAGTAGAAAGTACAGGTATTTGAGTTCAACATGTAAGAAGTAGAAAGTACAGGTATTTGAGTTCAACATGTAAGAAGTAGAAAGTACAGGTATTTGAGTTCAACATGTAAGAAGTAGAAAGTACAGGTATTTGTGTTCAACATGTAAGAAGTAGAAAGTACAGGTATTTGAGTTCAACATGTAAGAAGTAGAAAGTACAGGTATTTGTGTTTAACATGTAAAAAGTCGTCAGAAAAAGAAGTAGTGGAGTAAAGTACTGATACCAGAAACATGTACTTAAGTACAGCAACAAAGTATTTGTACTCTACTTCTTCCCACCTCTGCTTATATATAATGTAGTGGTGTGGAAAAGGTTATAATGAGCTTATAAAGACTGAAGATGTTGAATTAAGGCAATTATCTTTTATCCAAAGCGACTTGCATATACTCATTACTGTGGAGAATACCCACTGTTTGAGGTGACATTGCTCACACAAGGACATGCTGACTACATTCTCTTCATGTAAATGTATACAATATGACTGGAAATGTATTGAAGAGAAGCTTTAAGGGGCGGGGCATCACTGGAGTTTGCACATTTATGTACTAAAGCTGAGTGTACCCATTATGGTATCAAACTTCTAAGGAACCGATACGTTGAAAAGAGTTGATCTGCACTCTTACAAGAGTTATGTCAGTTTCCCACAAATAAAACACCTAGGAAAAGGTTATAATCGATAGGTATTCCCAGGACAAATATCTGTCGTCTCAACGCAATTTATTGGATCAAGTTCCAACCGTGGAAACGTGCCAAAATGTGTTGTGTTTAGTTAAATGTACCTATATTTGGGAGATTTTTTGCAAATGCATTGATGCCACTCTCTCGTCTTTACTCCAGATCTACCTGCAGTCCCGACACTCCTCATCAGATCTGAAGGGCTGGCCTGAACACGTCGCCCTGCAGGTGCCCAGTGTCAACGAGGCGGCCATTTTGGACTTCACCCTCCGAGACGACACTTTGTTTCTGACGGACGATGCCACGACTTCCCTCAGCTCCTTCAAACTCAAGGACTTAGACCTGTCCTCAGAGGTGGGGAAGTACACTTACTCGAATACTGGCCTGAAGTACAATTTAGAGGTTCTTAAACTTTGAGTATTTCCATTTTATGCTACTTTATATTTCTAATTAACTTCATTTAAAAGGGAAACAATGTAATTTTACTCCATTTATTAAACGGCTTCAGCTACTTTTAATAAAATGCATCTCTAAAAATGTAACTAGTGCACTAACTAAGTCACAAGAGTTAAAATTATTTAAATATTTTACAAAAAAGTCAACCAGAATTGTATTTTTCTAAAAAAGTTAAATGCAACATTGATGCAACAATATTATCTACAAATATAATTATATATACCTGGAGGCAATTTATCTGCATGATTTACTTGTTATACTTGGAGTACATATTGCTGATAATACAATGTTACAGTAACATTACAGTATAGTTTTAAAGTGCTGTATACATTTCCCACCTAAGGATAATATTCCCACAATGCAGCATAATGTACAGTATTACAAATTACTGTGGGAAATGCAGTAATTTACTGCCTACATTTGTTACGGTGTAGAATGGGTGATCTGTTTGGTATTTTGATCAAAACACTTCATAGACATGTTTTTTATATATCTGAGTATAATGTATGCCTACAAATAGAATAGGTGAGACCTTCAAATCAATCCTCACACTTCTGCCTGTCCTCTCAGGGCGTGTTCCTGAAGCTTCTGGGTAGCTCCATCACTGCCATGGCTGTGGACTGGATCACAGGCAGTGTGTTCTGGAGCAGCACCACGCAGCCCCGCCTGCAGGTGACCTCCAGCACCGCGGCCCACACCGCGGTCCTCCTGAAGGAAGGTGTTGGGCGGGTGGGGTCCATCGCCCTCCATCCTCCCACTGGAATAGTGTGCTTCACTAACCTGGGTCTGCAGGGCTCCACGGTGGAGTGCTCCAACATGGACGGGGATCAGAGGAAAGTCGTGTGGGAAAGACGCCGAGCAGCCCACGTCTCTGGTGTTCTCCAGCAGCGGGGGCTCCATCTACTGGGCCGACACCGGTGAGAGGGCTTCACGTGGTTTCAGAATAGTGTGAAGCTTTTGTTTGGAGGGATAATTAGTTATTCAGAAGAGTTGGAAGCTTCTGTCAAAGTCAACTTTATTGCCAATCTTTCAGTTTGTGTACAGACAGAGAGATCGAAATACCGTTTCCCACAATCCCGATATATATATATATATATATATATGTGTGTGTGTATATATATATATATATATATATATATATATATATATATATATATTACACAATCAACAGACATTTATACATATGCACACATTAAGACATGAATACAAGTACAACAATCAATACAAAATAACAGTTACTTCAATATCTTTGGAAAATGTACATTGGGACAAGACTGTCCATAGCAGCGTAAAAAGTGTTTGGTGCTGGATTTGAGTGTGTGGGGTGTTAAAGTAACTTGTATACATGTACATAATAAACAATAAAATACATACACATATCATCACTCATGCCCCGTTTGCACAAGCACAAAACAGACGCACATACTGACAATGGCGACATGTTACACAAGTTCATGGGCAACATGTGAAAGTATATTTCATGTGAGTGTTAAGAAGTTTAATGGACAGAGGCAGGAATGAGTGCAGAGCTGGAGGTCTGGGTGGAGAATGTGGGTAGGATCAGACACCCTTTTTTGAGCCCATCTACTAATAGACTGCTCATATATGTTTTGGAGAGATGGATGTTTTTTGAGCCCGAGGTACAAGGGTTTCACGTGTTTTTAGAAGAGTTGGGAGCTTTTGTTTGGAGGGATAATTTGTTATTTAGAAGCTGGTTGAGAACATTTCACCAGTTGCAATGATGAAACTTGTTACAGGGAGTAGTGAAGGTGATACAAATGCATGCATACCAGAAGGAAGCTAAGCAAGCTGATGCTGTGAAGTGTAGGAAAGTAATTAAGTACATTTACTAAAGCATTGAATTACAAATTTAAGATGCTTTTATAATATAATTAATTCACTACTCTACTACCATTTAAAGGAAAATATTGAACTTGTAACACTTATTTTACAGTTTGAGTTTTCTTTTTACTCATTATACTTAAAGTATGTTTAACCATTGTCAATGCAGTACTTACATTTGAAAAGGAGTATTTTAACAATGTACTACACTGTATAGTACTTTTCTTTCTTCTAAGATGCGGCCAGACATTTACCGCTTCCTTAAATGGGTTAGTTAGTTTGTAGTCTTTGTTTAGAGTTTACCAAGGTTGCACAATAACACAAACGGACTAACCAATGGAGGCAGCGTTAGACAAGCAACCCCTTTGTACTGAGAGGTCAAAATGTTTTCTGGTGGCTTTAAAGACAACATGGATAACCACTTCAAAAGGGGTTTGTGACCGCAAGCATTGCAAATATTAAAATCTAGTGTAACCTTATTTTTAGCTGGCTTAAATAATTTCTGCTGCTTCAGTTGATCCACAGCAGTTTATTGCTTATCTTGACCCATTTCTACACACTGATTACCTCCCTGTTCAAAACCTCCAAACGATTCCCTTTTTCTTAAGGAGTTATGTATGGGAAAGATAAATGGAATAAAGCTGTAATCTGTTGTCTAAAGTAAGCAGTAACCTAGCTGTTTCTCTCGCAGGTTTAGGGTCCATCGGCTCTGCCCTGCTCGATGGGTCTGGATACAAAGAGCTGAAGACGGAGGAGGGCCTGATTGCTGTGACCCTGAGTGCCGACACGCTGCTCTGGATGACTCTCAGTGGTAATGAGATTAAGATAACATTTACTTTATTAATCCTAATTTGGGAAAACATTCTCGTTGCAGCAGCATAAAACAAAACGAGGCATTGCACGTAATATTCAATTAGTAGAAAAGAACAATTCTTAAATGTAAACATCTCAAAATGGAAATAAATGGCTTGCATATACAGCTTACTGAATCAAAAATGACACCTACTGACATTTTGTGTGAAGTGGAGATGCTGTTTCATATCTTAACTATACCGTAATCTACTCTACATTATCTCAGTAGCTCAAGACACAGGAAACAATTCATGCATCAAAAAGGTCAAGCTATTGGTAGCAATTCTCTTGTTTTCTAATGTAGCTACCTGACTTTGTGTTGACCCTTTCCAGCAGACAAGACCAGGCTCTGGTTCAGAGATGAGCAGCAGAACATCAAGCTGTGGTTTGAAGTCGGCACGGAAGCGGTCGGCTTAAAGGCGTTCAGCAAGTCCAGTCAGACGGGTACGCGATAAGATAAGAAGTACTTTATTGATCCCAATTTGGGAAAGGTTTGTGTTGCAGCAGCCTAAAAAGACATGGCATTGTACAATAACAATTAAAAGAAAGAAGAAAATATACATGTTGAATTCCAAATGTACAGTAACAAAAATAAAAGCAAGCAAGAAAATCACATTTTCATAGTTTTGTGGTAAAAGTCACACTCCAGTTGACTAATGTTGGGAAAATACTGAATGTCCTCTTCCAATCTGAGAGTAACATGATAACAAAGGTATCCCAACTGTAGCTGTGAACATGACAGGATGTGTGATTACCTAGAAGAGCATCAGGACTGTTTGAGGCAGATGATAGCTATGTGATTAACATGATGATTCAGCCTCTATGGAGAGAGACATCAAGCATGCTCATTTCTGACGTGGAGCTAATCTGAAGTAAACATTGAATACTGCTATCTATTCCTCCATCTTGTGACCGTGTAACTCCCTCTCTTGGATATCAGCATGTGGAGGACACTGTTCAGGAACTAGTTGATGCTCTGTATGTGATGACTACTTCCATTCTGGAGAGGATCACAAATACATGGAACCTGAGATTGAAGCTCAAGCCGGTGACGAGTGATGTTTTTCTAACGACTGACAATCGTCCACAGGCTCAAACGGATGCTCAGAAAACAACGGAGACTGCCAGCAGCTGTGCCTCGCCACCCCAGGGGGTCGGACATGTGTCTGTGCTCATGATCACGTCCTGATGAACTCCACTCACTGCAGTCCGGCGCAGCGATGTCCCAACGGCAGCCGCTCCTGTCTGGATCTGCTCTCCTGCCAGCCGGAGGAGAAGTTCTGTAACGGACGAGTGGACTGTCTCGACCACTCGGACGAGAACTGTGAGTATTTATTAGAGGTGGGAAGTAGTGGAGTACAAATACTTTGTTACTGTACTTAAGTACATTTTTCTGGTATCAGTACTTTACTCCACTAATTGTACGACTTTTTACTTTTACTTATTTTGAACCCAAATACCTGAACTTTCTACTTCTTACATGTTGAACTCAAATACCTGTACTTTCTACTTCTTACATGTTGAACTCAAATACCTGTACTTTCTACTTCTTACATGTTGAACTCAAATACCTGTACTTTCTACTTACATGTTGAACACAAATACCTGTACTTTCTACTTCTCTCATTTTCCAAACAGCTGGTTCCTTTAGTCTGAATGTGTGTTTGATGCGTGATCATTATTCTTTAGAGTCATTGCGTGCCTATTGATTTGAACACGATCCGTGTATCCATCATTTCCTGGTCTTCTCTAAAGAAGAGGGACCAATGGAAACGTTGTCATGTTGCCGTTGTTCAGCATGGAAACATTCATTAGCTAACAATGACATTATTGTTCTATTAATATAAAGGGAAGTCAGGTACTCTTTAAAACAGCTGCTAGTTATGGGTACTTTTTACTGAAGTACACTTCAAAGCCTCTTTACTTTCACTTGAGGAAAGAAGTTTAGTCAGTACTTCTACCAGAGTATTTTTAAACTCGAGTATCTGTACTTCTACTTGAGTAAAGGATGTGTGTACTTTTGCCATCCATCTTCTTCCAGGTGTCGGTCTGAAGCAGCTGTCTGGAGCAGAAGTATTTTCTTCTTCTCCCGTCAGCTCCCCTCCCCCTCGTCCCTCCCCTCGTCCCTCCCCTCGTCCCTCCCCTCGTCCCTCCCCTCGTCCCCTCCCCTCTTCCTACGCTCTCGGAGGACCTGAACTCCACCCTGGAGGAAGACGTCCACGGCGTCCACCTGGACAGCCTGCAGTGCAGCCAGACACTCTGCGGTGGGAACGGACGCTGCGTGGAGACGGGAGGAAAAACAACATGCGAGTGTTCAATGATGTACAGCGGAGATGCCTGTGAAGACAGCCTGCTGCAGACCATGCAGGGGTCTCTGATCTACGGTGCTGTGGGGGTCTGTGCGGGAGTCTTGGTCATTGCTGTGATGGCGGTGGTGGTGAAGAGGAAGAGGAGCGGGAACGGCAGGTTGGTCTGAAAAGCACTGAAGAAAAAAACGTTTAAAAAAGCATTAAAACATCATACGAATCATTAAAGAAGTGTTCAACACAATACAAGGGGCGTAAAAGAAACTAGTTTAATCAAACATCTCAACTTAAAACAGCGACGACATTCAGATGAAATGAAGAGGCTAAGTTTAGGTCTTCATTGTGACTCGTTCCTAATAAAGAGTCCGTACTGAAGTCCCTGTTCCATCCAATTTGAATAAAGAAACCATTTACAGCAAGACCGTAGAGTCAACAAAGTATCTGAACCAAATCCCCCTCTTTGTCCATCACACAACAGGTGGACGAAATACCTTAAAGTACACCATGTGACAATTGGAGGAAGTGACGAATTATAACTGTGGCGTCAACAATGATAAGATTAGGAATAATCAACAATTGCTAAACAAGTATGTTGGCGCTTGCATATAGATTTAGTCCGTAGTTGAAATGTTATACCTTCAAATCAGTTTTTAAACCATGCTAATGTCTCTTAGATGGTTCTTGGGCAACGGTGGATTTTTTAGCTAAATGCTAACGTGCTAACCGTGGCAAGGATTTTAGGTTTCGGATATTTCAATCATACGATCTGGTTTAAAAAAAATTGTTTTGCTTAGGAAAGTTCCTTTATGAGTTAAATGACCTGTAAGTGATAAAGGCTACATGCTAAGGGAAGTAGCTTCAATGTTTCCTTATCTCCTTTAGCAAAGGGTACACCGAAGCATCCTTTACCCAGGAAAATGACTAATGCGTACGTATAGATGGATAGATACTTTATTGATCTCAATTGATAATTAAAAGGTTCTACAAAAAGTACTGCAGGAATACATGCTTACGTTACAGGAACATAGACATACTTGTATACATAGAATAGTATAATACTTATGATCTATACTTTTAAATCCAGGCTCAAGACTTTTCTTTTTGCCGCTGCTTTTAATTGAACGTTCATATCTTACACTGCAAATTTTATTCGTGTATTTTGTCTTTTAATGTTTGTTTTATTATCTTTGCTTTTTTAATGACTGTTTTTTAAATGCCATTTTCTTAATGTCTTTCATTTTTGTTAAGCACTTTGAAAGGTGCTATATAGATAAACTAGCCTTGCCTATAATGTACAGATATACAAACAATTGCCGATTTTTCATGGTAACTAGGAAGGAGAAACTCAAACTATGTAGCAGTGAGTTCTCTGCCAGCCAGATGTTGGATGTTGAAAAGTGTTAATGCAGTAGGAAGGACTGTTTTCCTGTACCTCTGTGTGTGAGAGGAAGCTAATCACTGCATTTTGTTTTTCCTCCTGCAGGAGAGCTACCCCTGAAGCGGCGAAGGAGACGAGCATGACGGACCTGGAGAAGAAACCTGAAACACCAAGTGCAGACGCTGACAAACCCGAGGTTAAAGAAACTCCTTAAAATAATCTGATTCCCAGTTGATGCTCCTGTGGGACGGCGGTCTGACTTTTGTTTCTTTCTTTTCACAGGAAGCGGTGTCTTCTGTAGACTGAGGTTGATTCATGTAACATTTTAAATAAACTGTCTGCATTTTCCACGGCTCCCTGTGAAGTTATTTCAGCGTTGCTTACTGTCGGTTAGACCAGGGTTTCCCAAACTTTGCCATGCCAAGTACCCCATAGCACTATCCTCTGGCGGGGACCCATTGCAATTTTTTTTTTTTTAAATGAGTACATTATGATGGAAAATATGACAAATTAATCATACAGCTTAACACATTTTCTTAATATATATTTGTATTAATAATTATCAGTTATTCTTCTAAAAATGTGTTGAATGTATCTTTTGTTTGTCATTCATTACATTCATGGTGTCTTCTGTTATAAACATTCTCAACACAATATTAAACAGTAATATCAACAGTAAACATATTTTTAAAGTGATTTCTGTCTTTATAATATTATATAATTTTGGATATGAACAATTAACATATCAATCAATGTTTATTTATATAGCCCAATATCACACATGTTACATTTGTCTCAGTGGACTTTACAGTTTGTATAAAATATCAGTATGACAATACGACACCCTCTGTCCTTAGACCCTCTGTCCTTAGACCCTCACATCGTACAAGGAAAAACTTCCGAAGAAAACCCACAGTTTAAAGGGAACATGGGAGAAACCTCAGGGAGAGCAACAGAGGAGGGATCCCTCTCCCAGGACGGACAGACGTGCAATAGATGCCGTGTGTAAATTGAAAAGATAATACATTTGCAACATAGGTAGTCCAAATGTTTGGAAATGCACGTGTGTACAACAGGAAGACGAATCCACGAGGATATCCATCCAGGACCTATGATCCAGGATGGATATCCAGGATCATAGGTTCATATATTTTTGAAAGCTACTTATGCCTTAATAATATTATATATAATTAACAGTAATATTACCAATAAACATATTTATATTCATATATATATACCAATATTTGTTACATCCGTGCTCTCATCCAGCTGCAGAGCGAAATATTAACTAGCTCTCACTTGCTCCAAAAGCTGAGCAGATACTCAGTGTCACTCTCTATAGCGGCAGCTCGATTCTGATTGGCTTGAAGGGTGGTCGTGTGATTTAAAAAATATATTAAAAGATTGGCATCAAAGGACACATAGATTGATAGATATGCAGTTATTAATAACATCTAAAAAAATAAATAATTAACTTTAAAAAACAAACAAAAGCCCCTTTCCCTCAAACTTTGCGTGCGCCCCCTGGCGGACCCCTGGGGGGTCGGGAACCCCCACTTTGAAAAACACTGGGTTAGACCACCAGGGTTGAATCGTTGAGAGCTGACAGATTATTTTATGGGACATGGTCAGAGGGTAACATCAGAGATTTGTCGGTGACTTCCAACAAAGAACAATACAAATCTGGTATATCTCTATCTGACGAAGAGATAGGTTGTTGTGCTCCCTATCTCTGTTTCTTATCTATATCTAATAGAACTGCTCGGGTCTTGATAGATTGAGTGGGGAAGTTCATGAGATCTTTCTAGAGGGTTATCAAGAATAACTTTTATCCAATGACCTTTTCCCTCTCTGTCTGTGTCTGTGTATTCTCTTGTTCCGATTAACCCAGCCAAATCTTTTTTCTTGTTTTGTATCTATATCTACGCCGGGATCCGGAGTCGAGGCTGATCCTCTTGCTGTAGTCCTGTGTCTTGGATCCTCTATCCCGAGTTCTGGATTAAGTCGTGGACTTCGGGTCGTGGCTGAACCTGTCTCTGCGGTCCTGCCTTGGGTCTCGTCATGCTGCTTCCCTGATGGCTTCCACAGGATTGTAGCTGACATCCTCGTGGATTCATCTTCTTATTACAGACACATGCATTTCCTAACATTCGGTCTATATGATGTAAAATGTATTATCTCTTTGATTTACACACGGCATCTATTGCACGTCTGTCCGTCCTGGGAGAGGGATCCCTCCTCTGTTGCTCTCCCTGAGGTTTCTCCCATTTTTCCCCTTAAACTGTGGGTTTTCTCTGGAAGTGTTTCCTTGTACGATGTGAGGGTCTAAGGATAGAGGGTGTCGTTTTTCTCATACTGATATTCTGAACAATCTGTGTTGTATTTGCTGTAAAGTGTCTCTACTGTAGGCTATTTTTATTATATGTACAGCACTTTGGCTCGACCAAAAATCTTTATAAATGTGCTATATAAATACAACTTGATTTGAAAGGGAGTAAAAGATCCACCTCCTAATGTAACATAAAAGTACAGGTTTTTTTCAATCTGACTTTATAAAAGGGGGTGAGGCTGCAAAAGGTGTTGAAAGAAAACCTGCAACACGTGAGGAAGATTTAATTGCAGCTAAAACAATGATTGTGTCATAAAAGGTGAAAACCGACTTTTCATTATCTACTAATCTGCAGATATATGGTCTCCAGTTTGGAATATGACTTGCACATTTAAAGTCTTAAATTCACTCCGAATGTTTAATTTTCCAAGTAACAGTCCCATTAAGAAATTAAGACGATTACGGCCCCATGTGACTTTTTCTTTAGGATCAGACCAAATGTTGAGAGAAAATCCGTTCTGAGATTAAAGTCAGAAATAATGTATTCTCTATTGTATTCTTTTTCCCCATGTGGCCCTTATCCTCTTACGTTAAACTCAGTGAAAAAGGAAGCAAATGGTCACATTTAAGAAGCTGTAACCACAGCTGGGGTGTCCTGCTATCACCCTGGAGTGAGATGAGTCTTTGATACTGGACAGTTTTTGTTTTATTCTCATCTAAAAACAGATAGCTCATATATGAGAATTCAAAGGTATTTTATTTTGAAACTGTACATCAGAATGTCCTGATGTTTTCTAAGTGACTAGATGGGATGTCCTGCTATCACCCTGAAGTGCAATGAGTCTTTGATACTGGACAGTTTTTGTTTTATTCTCATCTAAACACAGAGACAGTCTTTCCAGGACTCTACCGTAATGCATCGGATATTCGTGCACCGCAATATCACGTGCGGGCTGGCTTGACTAGGTTTTCCCGAGTGGAGGCTGGCTTGACCGCAGTCAAATCAACAAGAACTGCGAGCCGGCATGCACGACGCTCCGCTTCCGTAAGCCTTCCCAAATATTTGTGTCACTGCATCCTGATAAAATAAAAAATATAACTTATAATGTTTGTGTCTTTGACATTACTTGTGCCCTGTACTACGAAGCCAGTTCAACAGACCCTGGATATGTTTGAGTTATCTTAACTAACCCTTACAAACGAGATCTCGCTAAGCGGTCCTACGACGCTGGTTATCAACTCGGTAAATCAAGCCAGGGTTTCTCTCTCCAGCTGAGAGCGCGTTCACGTGAAAGGGGCGGGGTTAGCAACATTTCACCAATCACAAACAGGGACAAGTGTACTGACAGCGCAGCGACATACTCAACACACTCTCACTCCATAATCGTCCAGGAGCACGTTTGGTCAGGGTCCCGTGGCGTGCAGTTGTGACGCTCCTAGGCTCCTTCAGCTTCATAAAGGGACGCAAATAGCTTTCAACTGATTGCAATGTATTCCCATCTGCGGCGGGATTTGACGCTCATGGAAGCACGGCATTCGTTTGTGTCGGCTGCCCTTAAAGGCAATGTGAGCGTCCATTCCCATTGGATAACGGAGAATTGTACACCCGGAAGTAAGTATTCCCCTTACTGTCGATTAATTTTACAGTGATATCTGCACTACTCGTCGACTAAAAAACACCAGGTTATCCTTGTTAATTACACAACATTGATTGGTTTAAATTGTGTGCAATGCTTTTGTGTTTTTCCCCTTCTATTCGGAGAAACAAATATTTGTTCGGAGTAAAGGATGGCAGAAGACACTACACTACCCAGAATCCCCAGCTATCGTTTAGGACTACACCATGTGCTCTGTTTGACAAACCCCGTTTTTTTTAACCATTCATTCCAAAGGCTGGCGTCTATGTCACGTGATCTTCACATTTCTCCCTGCAGAAAAAAACACATGGCCGAACTTCGTTTTATTCTCGGTGGAAAAGGCCTATTTTAAGGTTAGTTTGGCCATTAAAATGCATTTTGATGTCATTTGATGCGAGAAATATGAGTTGTTATTTCAGATTATGTGCGCAGTGGATGTACATGATCTTTAGTTTGCTAGTTATTACGAAGATTACTTCAGGAAATCGCGACGTTTTCATTGTTACCAAGGTGGTTGCTAGGGACGCTGCTATCGATATTATTTCTGTTATGTTGTTTAACTGTTTAATGGTGTTATCTTTATTGCTACCCCCTTCCCCGTCAATGTATAGTGTTGGTCCACAGCGCAAACATATTAGTTTAACAAAATCCACATCTAAAGATAGCCTACGTTATTTTCCCCTGTGCAATTCCAGTCTCACATCTCACAGCACATCGTCATTAACAAATACCGGAAACAAACCTAAAACAATTTAAAAATACTTTATTCCGAGTGTGCTTGCTTTTCTCTTTGAAAGTCATCACATAATGGCATTGTAATACACGGTTCGGCTGCATTAAATATTACATATCTGCCGTTGTTCTGTATTTATAGAGCCCTGATGAGAAGACTTGTAGACAAACATGAGGAACTGAAAACGTGACGTGGATCATAAATATATCAGCCATTAAACAACATCTTACATTTCTTTTAATAATAATAATAATAATAATTTCAATTTATATAGCGCCTTTCACGAAACCCAAGGACGCTTTACAATACGTCTCCTTGCAGTGTCAACACTAATTCGGCTGACTTTTATATTTGATCCAATTGGTAGATAGGCTGTATTTACACCATAAAGGTGCACAGCTGATATAAAGGGACACCTAGTGGTTAAAGCATGTTATTGAATTTCATTATTTTTATTATTAGATATTAATAGGATCCCTATAAAGTATATTAATTACTCGTTATTCTCTACTAATAGTTAATTAAAGACTGTATATAATGACTATTTTGCACATCCCTTTCAAGATTTCAAGATTTTCTAAGGTTTATTGACATATCATATAGGCCTACACAACTATGGTGTAGTTCTGCATTGAATGAAAAACTTGGG